CTCCACCAACGTAATCATCAGTGCCGCCCATTGCCTGAACACTTTGGCCAGCCCAGCAGACCTCACCATTGTGGCCGCCTCCACGAAGATCAGCATCAAGACCCAGGAGCTGCCCGTGCGCGAGTTCATCATTCATCCAAAGTACAGGACTCTCAACAACGACTACGATGCGGCCATTCTCATCACTGATGGCGACTTCTTCTTCAACGAATTGGCCCATCCCATTCCACTCGCCAAAGAGCGCCCGGAGCATGGCTCAACAGTCATAGTCACCGGCTGGGGCACCACCAGCGAAGGTGGCCAATTGTCCAACACTCTGCAGGAGGTGGAAGTGAACGTGGTCGAGAATGCTCAGTGCAAGAGTGCCTACTCCATCATGCTCACCAGTCGGATGCTCTGCGCCGGCATCACCGGCGGCGGCAAGGACGCCTGCCAGGGCGATTCCGGTGGCCCACTGGTGTACAACAATGAGCTGATTGGCATCGTCTCCTGGGGCACGGGCTGTGCGCGAGACAAGTACCCGGGCGTGTATGCCTCGGTTCCGGAGCTGCGCAGCTGGCTGTTGGAGACCATCGAATCCTACGACCGGGTGGGAAAAATCGACTTCCTGTAAGCCTGCTGGAAGCTGTTCTTTTCTTGCGAATCATTTCACATTTTACCAAGAGTTACATAAATCAAATTGACTCGAACCTCAACCGAGCCACCTGGCTGGCCTCGGTGCGGTACATAATTCTTTTGTTTGTTTTATTATAGTTCTATAATTGAATTAGCCGTGTACATTGGTGGCTCAGTGCGGGCTGATAGTAGGCATTTGCCACTTGAAGATAACGTCGATTGCTGCCAGTCAGCGGTCCGCGAATACCCTCAAAATTCCTTTTGTTTATTGCACCCCACTGGCCGCCAGGGTTTCATCGATCCAACTCTTCAGGCTGGCGACGTAGGTGTAGACTGAGGGGTAGCCAGGACGGCCGCAGCCGCGTCCCCAGGAAACGAGGCCCACCAGCTGGTCGTCGATGACCAATGGACCGCCAGTGTCGCCTTGGCAAGCGTCTAAGCCGCCCTGAGCCACATTGCCAGCGCACATCATCCGATCGGAGACTTCGCCGCGGCCGTAGATCTGGTTGCACTCCTCCGAGCTGACGATCGGCACTTGGGCCTGCTCCAGGCGGTAGCTATTGGGGCCCCCTTCCTCACGATAGCCCCAGCCGGCGATTGTGGCCAAGCGACCCACGGCCGGACGCTCCGGTCGAATGCCTATGGTGCGAATGCCAAAGCTAGTTAGATTCAAGGGCGAATCCAGGATGAGTACGCCGATGTCGTAGTCGACGGTGATGTAGTCGAAGCTGGGATGCAGGGTCCAGTTGGAGACAGGAATCAGAATTCCGTCGCTGCCATTGCGGGTGTTTGCGGCGGCCACGGCCAGTACTTTGACGCCCTCCGGCAGGTTCCACAAGCACTGGGCAGTGGTGACCACGGCCTGCTCCGAGTAGATCACTGCTCCACACTCGTGCATGTAGCTGGACCCGTTGCTGCGACGATACCGTAAGGAGATCAGGTACGGATGACGACCAATATCCACTGTGGTGCCATTGATTATTCGCGCTTCCGGCTGTGCCAAGTCCGAGGCGGAGGAGGAGCCCGCTGCCAACAGGAGGATCAGGATCGGTCCCATCATCATCTGAAGCTGTCGGATGCACATTGTACCGCTGGATGTATGGACTGTCGGTCGATTTGCACGTACCGCTGGCTCGAATCGAACTGTTTATAAATTATGATTCGGCAGAGCGCGAATTTGCACTTTTCCAGGCACCGCTCATATCGATTATCTTAATGGGAGGTGCTCGAGATAGCTTCAGATAGCAAAGCCTCACCGTAGAGTTTGGCCAAGATAAAGGCGATTACGGACTGTTTGCGGACTCTTTTCAGTTAATCTTAAGGTATTCGAAACGTAATCTCAATCGTGCTGAGTCTCTTCAATGAAATGTTTTGTTTAAGCCATTTTTAGTCTCCTCGGACACAATTGCACTCGAGTGCTGGGTTCAGTGCAGGTTGATGGGCCCCCAAAAATAAATAAGCGGAGATTTCCCCACTTTAGATTAACTCCAAAGGAAGAACATTTATTTCTTTAGCCAATAAGTGTGCCACACATTTGTGAATGCGAATTTATGTTAACCCCAAAACTGTGCCACACATTTCGACAGTCCGCTAATTCAAATTCTCTACTACTTGCTGGTTGGATTTGGATTTCCTATGGCTAGGCTAACTCCATATCTGATCAAGCTAAAGGCAACCACATTGATCTAATCGCTGATGTGTGTGAATGTAATCGGATTGGATGCGATTGTGGCAATCTTTAGAAACGATTCTTTGGAATTGGAAAATACCCATTTATTAGGTAAACCTCATGTGACTGGAGATTAAGCGTTGCTTGCACATTAGATGATATTTTTAATGCTTCAGAGCTGTGCTTCTTCGGCAATCTTCTCATCAATCCACGGCCTCAGATTCGACACATTGGCATAGACACCGGGATAATCGGCCAGGGCACAGGCATTGCCCCAGGAGACGACGCCATGGAGCTGATCGCGTACGACCAGCGGACCACCAGAGTCGCCCTGGCAAGCATCCTTGCCACCCACTCCACGTACGCCGGCGCACAGCATGGCGGGTGTGATCTGGTAGGAGCCATCGCCAAAGTTCTCGTAGTCCTGGTTGCAGATCTCGTTGCTCACGATCGGCACATCGACGGCGAGCAGAACGTTGGAGGCACTGCCGCCGGGGGAAGTGGTTCCCCAGCCGCTGATCTTGCTGATGGCACCTGGGAGAGGAGGCTCCGACGCCAGATCGATGGCCTTGATGGTGAAGTTGTTGAGCGGCAGCGGCGGATCCACAACCAGCAGGGCAATGTCGTTGTTGTAGGCAGCTCCAGATAAGTACTCCTCGTGCATGATGATCTTCGAGACGGAGACGATGACGCCGTCTGTGCCGCTGTGCAGGTTAGTTCCAGCCACCACCTTGTACTGGCTGGCCACCGTGCCAATGACGCAGTGTGCAGCAGTCAAGATCAAATTTTTGTGAATGATGGAGCCGCCGCATCTGTGGCGGTAGGGATTCTGTGGCGTCGTAATCCCTTTGAAGCGCAGCGAGATCTGGTAGGGGCACTGGGCCACATCCGTCACGTAGCCACCCACAATGCGTGGTCCCTGGCTGCTCTCCACATCCTCCTGCAAGGGCAAACACCTGGCCACTGCCACCAGGCAGAGCAGAGCACAAAGAGTGAGGAGCAGTGAACGCGACATGTTCGATGGTCGGCGGAGAATCGAGGACTGAAAGTCCCAGCTGCGGTGTCCACAATTGTAAGGCTTATCAAGCAATTGGTCAACTGGCAATATGCCATAAATTTTATTCTGGATACCTTCGGCACTCGCAGAGTCATACTCCCAGCGATACGCTTTATGGGCTCCTATAACACTGGACAACAAAACAATAGAAAACAGTTCCCCAAGTTCAGACAGAAGAACCTAAAAGATATCGCTTCGAATTGTTTTATGATTTTGATTCGCTATATTATCATATTATCAAAGAACAAGGATCAATAAAGTGCATAAGATTACACTAGAAAGCAATTTCGATTCCTTCTCGAATGCGTTCAAAGATCAATATGCTTCGAGTCCATGAACTCAAGTCCCCAGACTGATCAGCTCCAGATTATGCAAGCTGGAAGATGCATTTCCTTCAGTTGATATCACAGGAGTCTCCACTCTTTGTACATATTTACTCTGAGTGCTTCCTTTAGGCTGTTAAATCCCCAAATCAATTGCAAGTATAACCCCAGCTCGGTTCACACTAATTAGTTAAATAATAATTGTATTTATTTAAATGTTTTAGAACGAATATCAGAGTATCATATGGGAGCTAAGGACCTCAAATGTTTTCCTATGCATACGTCGCCCGCTGCTTATCGATCCAGTCCGTGAAGTGGGCCACATTCGCGTAGACACCGGGAGTGTTGGGACGGGCACAGCCCTCGCCCCAAGAGACGATGCCCACGAGCTGATTGTTGACGGTCAGCGGCCCACCCGAGTCCCCTTGGCAAGCATCCTTGCCGCCCTCCGGCAGTCCCGCGCAGAGCATGGCCTCGCTGATGGGTCGCCAGTAGTAGGTTTTCTGGCACTGGACGCTGTCCACGAGCGGCACCTGCACCTGCTGCAGCTTGTTGGAGGACAGGCCACCCTCCTGGGTGTAGCCCCAGCCACTGATACTGGCCACTGCGCCCACTGGCGGCTGCTCTGTGACCGCTACAATGGCTCCAATCCTGCTGGCATCCGACAGGGGCAGCGGCGGAGAGACGATCACCAGAGCAATGTCATTATCCGTTGTGGTAGCATTGTAATTCTCGTGAGGAATCAGTTGCTCCACGCGCACCACAATGCCGTCCATTCCAGCCCGGTTCTCGGTGCCAGCCACCACCAGGAAGTCTGCCGCCTGTCGGTTGTACACGCAATGGGCAGCGGTGACAATTGTGCGGCTGTCAAGGACGCTTCCGCCGCAGGTCTGCGCATAGGCGCTGTTGGTGGAGTGGCGTCTGCGCAGCTGTACCACATATTTGGCAATGTAGTTGGAGGCATCCACGCCGCCCACAATGCGCCCTTCCAGCTCTGCATCTGCGGCGCAGATGCCCAGCAGCAGGAGGCCGACGACGATCGCGGATTGAACGTTGTTCATTTCGTTGTTCGATCAGTTACTAAATGTCTTTGGCATGGATCGCTGCAATCAGCGAAAAGCTTTGGGACTATCTTGAATTGGTCAATAAATTTGGTGTGTGTTTTGCCCACGATAAGATGGGCAAATGGCAAAGTAATTGCTTATAAGTAAGTGTGGAACCAGCCATCCAAGGGCGTGCGAAGACCATGGCTGACTAAGGTACTTCGTGACGATTGACTGCCGATAAAATCTCTGCTTATCTTGGCAGCTTTTCCTCACACATAAAAAAAAGGAACTAAACTTTGAAGGAGCTTTCTGACTGAATGATTTTTAATCGCTTATCAGAATAGAATTCAGTGGAACCCCTGAAAGTATGCGTCCATGAGGATCTACAATTTCTCGGCAGTCTCATTGATCCATTCACGCAAAGCTGCCACATCGGCATAGACGCCGGGCAGTAGATTTGAGGCACAGGCATAGCCCCAGGAGACAATGCCCACGAGCTTGTTCTCGGCCACCAATGGGCCACCGGAGTCGCCCTGGCAGGCATCCTTCTTCTGCTCGTAGCCACATACCATGGTGTCGTAGATGATGTCGCCGTACTTGTACGCATCCGAGGCACACACCCTCCAGTCCACGATGTTTACGACCACCGCCTGGAGCACCTTTGGCAAGGTCATGCACCAGAAGTAGCACTTTGATCCCCATCCAGTGACAATGGCTGGCGTGCCCGTGGCTGGCGTCTCTTTGGCCAGCTCTATGTAGCGGATATCCTCGGTCTCCTCCACGTCCTCGGCCAGCTTCAGGATTCCCACATCGAACTCCATGGTGCTGGCGTTGTACTTCTCGTTGTACGCCAGCTCTCGGACGGCCACCACCAGTCCCCCCTCATTGTACAGCGTGGAGCCAAGGCGCACATAGACCTTGGACGCCTTGCGGCCCTGCAGACAATGTGCCGCCGTCACCACGGTGTTCCTGTTGATTAAACTGCCTCCACAGAAGTGGGAGCTGCGGCTTGTCTGCAGCGACACCTGATAGGGATGTGCCCGTATCGTGGTGTCCTCGCCGCCCACAATGCGACCCTCTCGCTCGAAAGGATTGGGCGAGATGCTGACAGTGCCAGCCCAGGCACTACCCACAGCCAGGCAGGCCACCAATGCCACCACTAATCCGTGCATTTTTTGGTTAAAACTAAGCCAAATGCTGGCACCCACACTGCTATTTGTAGGAGCCTGCCTGCCATCGAGCTGGCCAACTGGTGTGATCGAGTGGTCCGTGTTTGACAGCTGCAATCGCTAGAGTTTCGGAATTAGCATCACCCGTGCCTGAAGACTCTTCAAGCGTAATCCAGGCAGACCCATTGTTATCGCCGCGACTCCTTATCAGCCAAAGGCACCGCACGAAAGCAGAACCCCTTTTGCCACGTTTCGGAAGTACGCACTTGAATAACTTTTACGTACCTATTGGCTCTCTATAAGATATAGACACAAGTGTATGATACTCCTTAGCTTTTCGCAATTGGGTTTACGATCAAATGGATAGCTCATGGTCCCAATATACCAGTGATAAAACATTTCCAATAAGGTCAGGTCACCAATAGATAAACTTTGAGGGCACCAATGAGACATGCTGCACAGGGAAATCATTATTTCCAGCCATTAACCTCAAAAGTAGCCGAAATTAGTGGCATAGCGCAGATGCCTCACCTAACCCTTTATCTCTTCGCATTTCTCCATTCAGTAAATAACTCATCAGGCCACACCCTGGTGTTCAGGGCACTCAGGCACTTTTAATTAAATTGAAAATAATCAGATTGCAAAAATTCTTTATAAACAATATTATCTGTGAGAGTTCCCAGAATAAATGTTCAAATTTATATAATATTTTTATCGGCCAAAGGGAACTTTTATGGTTCGAATTTATGTAGATGTTTTTCCGCATTCGACTAATATTCTTATTTGTTTTCCTGCGAATGTTCCTCACAAACATTTGAGTTTACTTTAATATTTTCTATGCCACACTTTAAGCTTGAATTTTATTTTAATCAAAGAAATAAATAAATAAATAAATATAAATTTAGTTGTATCAAAATCCCTATCAATCAATAGTTATCAGTTCTCTCATGTTGTGGTTAATTAATCTTGATTTACCGATGACGCAGCTGTCCAGACAATCACTTAGCTTAACAGTGGAAGATAGAGTGGAGAGCTGGCCACGCGATGCCCTCAAGGATTGATTAGATACCCTCAACACTTGAGTGCTGGCAGGCAGTTGTATGTATGTATGTGTGGCCTGCTCCATTCACCAGAGCACTTCAGATCACGGAACTCAGGTAGAGCCAACAACATGGTCGCCATTCCGATTAAAAGATACCCTCCCTACACACAGATATATAGACACCCAATACCGTATTCCATTCTTGCCTCGTGCCAGAATGGCTGACAAAATTCAGGTGAATTCCCTTTAGACCCTCAAAAGATACCCGGAATGGTTGATGTGATTGAAATCTGTAGCCAAAGTCAACTTCCGCCCAAAAGCCCCGTCCTTATCCTTATCCTTATTTTATATATAATAAGAAAAAGTCCAGCGTATGGACTTTGATTTCCCTTGGAGCCCAAAAGAACGAGAGTTTCAAAATTCATTGCTTGCAATCTTTATTGAATCTATTGCCCCAAAACGTATCTCATTTAGATCGAGTTGGCAGTGCTGATCACCCAATTGCGGAGGACAGCAACATCGGCGTACACTCCAGGGTAGTTGGCGTAGGCACAACCATAGCCCCAGGACACAACACCAACGAGGACACCACCGGAGACCAATGGGCCACCGGAATCTCCCTGGCAGGCATCCTTGCCGCTGGCAGCAGCGCAGATCATGGTGCTCTTGATTTGGCTACCATAGCCGTAGGTGGAGGAAGCGCACTGCGACTGGCTGACAATTTTCACGTTCACGTACTGCAGCTGGGAGGGGATGGAGCTGGAGCCGGAGGACTGGGTGCCCCAGCCGGAGACGGAGGCAGAGGCTCCATTGGCTGGGTTGTACGAGGCGAGGGCAATGGCCTTAACGTTGGAGCTGAAGCCCAGGGAAGAGCTCAACCTGATGACGGCGATGTCGTTGACCATGGTGTTAGCATTGTATCCCTGGTGGTTCCTGAAGGAGGCAACCTTGGCGACGGTGCCGCCGGAGCTCCAGTAGGTGGAACCGGCACGGACCTGCAGGGAGGAGGCAGACACGGACTGCAGGCAGTGAGCGGCGGTCACAATGATGTTGGAGGAGTAGATCGAGCCTCCGCAGGAGTGGGAACCACTGCGCTGCAGGGAGATCTGCCAGGGGAAGCTGCCGATGGTGGTGGCGGAGCCTCCAACAATGCGGCCATCCAGCTGGGGCAGGAGACCCTCTGGGATGGTGCCTCCCAGGGCGCAGGCGACAGCCGACAACAAGATCACGAACTTCAGCATGTTGAGCGTTGATAGTGAATGGTGGGTAACAAGGCGCACTCTGGCCATTTTATGGGCCCCATTGACAGGGCGTTATCGGGTGAGTGGATCGAGTGAATCGGCTTACAGCAAAATGGGGGAACGGAATGAAGAGATAGCACAGTTATTTTGATTGCTGTTTATTGAAGTGTTTTCTGTCTAGGGACTAGACGGTGAGAGCCTTACAGCTCATCGGCGGTCTTCTCGACCCAATCGTGGAAGTGGGCGACGTCAGCGTAGACACCGGGATACCTCACATCGCCGCAGCCATAGCCCCAGGAGACGACACCGACGAGACGGCTGCCGGAGACGAGGGGGCCACCGGAATCGCCCTGGCAGGCATCCTTGTGCTCGGCGTAGGCGCAGATCATGGTGTCCTTGATCTTGCTGCCGTAGCTGAACTCCCTGGAGGCGCACTTCTCGCGATCAACGATCTTGAGGTCGACGGCCAGGAGATGGTCGGGAATGACGCTGCCGCCGGACTCGGTGGTGCCCCAGCCGGAGACAACAGCCTCGGCTCCGTCGCGAGGGTTGGAGGTGGCAATGCGGATCTCCCTAATGCTCGAGCGGAAGCTCAGGTCGGACTCGATGCGGATGATGGCAATGTCGTTGACCATGGTCCTGGCGTTGTATCCCTCGTGGTTCCTGAAAGCACGCACCGAGTGCACGCTGCCGCCGGAGCGCCAGTAGGTGCTGCCCACGCGAACCTTCAGATCCTTGGCCGTGATCGACTGCAGGCAGTGAGCAGCAGTGATGACGATGTCATGGGAGTAGATGGAGCCACCGCAGAAGTGGGAGCCGCTGCGCTGCAGCGACACCTGGTAGGGATGTTCCTCGATGCTCGTCTCATAGCCACCGACAATGCGGCCATCCAGCTGGGGCAGCAAACCCTCAGGGATGGTTCCTGCCAAGGCGCAGGCAATAGCCGAAAGAAGTACCACAAATCTCAACATGTTTACCAGTTGTATGACTACGGATCGGCTTAGCCCTTGCTTATATACTGTTTCGCAGAACACAGATTTGTCCCTTGATAGACACGTTCGAGTCTATCTCCTGCCCATAGATGCTGCGTCACTTTCGCTGCGTGTATCGCCCAAAAGTCAATCATCGTATCACCTAATCACCTAATCACCTTATCACCCACTGCCCACTCGAACAGACTTACCGCCGTCCGCCGTCGCGATTTGATTACTCCGGTTGGGACAGCGCAAAGATAGGAATGGACAAGCAGCCAAATTCCTATAAAAGAGCCTCGCAGCTCTGAAGAAAGCGTATTAATTTCGCAATATGTTGAAGTTCGTGATCTTGTTGTCGGCTGTTGCCTGCGCCCTGGGAGGCACCATCCCAGAGGGTCTCCTGCCCCAGCTGGATGGCCGCATTGTTGGAGGCACCGCCACCACCATCGGCAGCTTCCCCTGGCAGATCTCCCTGCAGCGCAGTGGTTCCCACTCCTGCGGAGGCTCGATCTACTCCTCCAACATCATTGTGACCGCCGCTCACTGTCTGCAGTCCGTGTCTGCCTCCTCCCTGCAGGTCCGTGCCGGTTCCACCTACTGGAGCTCCGGCGGCACCGTCGCCAGGGTTGCCTCTTTCAGGAACCACGAGGGATACAATGCTAACACCATGGTCAACGACATCGCCGTCATCAGGTTGAGCTCTTCCCTGGGCTTCAGCTCCAACGTCAAGGCTATCGGTCTGGCCGGCTCTGCTCCCGCTAACGGCGCTGCTGCTTCCGTCTCCGGCTGGGGCACCCAGTCCTCCGGCTCCAGCTCCATCCCCTCCCAGCTGCAGTACGTGAACGTCTACATTGTCGGCCGCACCCAGTGCGCTTCCTCCAGCTACAGCTATGGTTCCCAGATCAAGGCCTCCATGATCTGCGCTGCTGCCAGCGGCAAGGATGCCTGCCAGGGAGATTCCGGTGGCCCATTGGTCTCCGGTGGTGTCCTCGTTGGTGTTGTGTCCTGGGGCTATGGCTGCGCCCAGTCCAACTACCCCGGAGTCTACGCCGATGTTGCTGCTCTCCGCTCCTGGGTGATCAACAACGCCAACTCGATCTAAAGACTTTGCGAAATTAAACAATATTAGAGCACATTTGAGATTGTTTTATTACTGTCTGTCTACAGAATACTTTTACTGAATTTGGTAAAGCATTTTCTGTGTGGAAAATGTTGCAAATACTTTCAAATTTCGAATTCTAAGTTCTCCAAACAAGTACAGTCAAATCCTAGGGGTGCCTTTTAAGAATTTTCCGCTTCATGCTTGTCAAGGTTTGAAGGCTGAAAATCATTGATAATATTGATATATTTACCCATATGTTTGTGCCATATAATGAACTGTGCCATGGAACTTTTGGGATCAATCACTTTCATATCAGCTGTAAAAAAGATATGGTGAAGGAATCATTTCCCCTTCAGGGCCATTCACATGTCAAGTTCTTCCTTAAGCCCATTTAATCGGCCAAATATATTAATCAGTCATGGTCTGTTTTGAATATATAAAATATAACTGATTGCGGCTATCATACGTAATGCGTACCATAAATATACATAAATTCCCTCGCAAGTTTTCTGACAGCTCTGCTGTTGAATATCGAACCACTTGATAGTCTCATATTGTCATTCAAGAAAAAAAACATACAGCTGTGTTCAATGAAATAGCAGGCAACCTCTTTTCAGCACACTTCCAGTCTTTCCAATTGAACAACTGATACATAGAAATAGGCTCTAGAACACCAAAGACTTTAGAAAAGTTCCCTAAAAGTACGCTGACCTTTGAAGTATTAGTGCTAGATTGAATTAGTTTAAACAAAAATCAAGATAACCAAGCTGCGTGGTTCTTTTAAATTAATTATACGAGGGCTGCTATTTAAGTTTCTGGCCTGGGTCACTTTTGACCTGAATAGAAAAAATTAATTAATTATTTTGCTATTTTCTGGGATATCCCTACATATAAATTTTTCGTTTCATATGATATCAACTAACGAGAAGGGTAAAATGCATTGCTGGAACAAATTTAAAATACATAAATGGTACTGAAAATAGTTAAGAGGCATGGACACTGTAGGATAGACTCCAGAGTATATATTTTAAAAATAATATTCAATAAATATACATGTACTCTTAGACACACAAAAGTGTGTATATATATTCCTAATGCTTAATTATCTGCCTATCTAAAGGCTTTAACTAATTCAATTTGGATGCGGCACTGCTATTTTATTGAACAAAACTGTTGGTAGAAATGTTGTTTCCCAAATGCCGAAACACTGATTCTAGAAGCAAGATATAGTCCTTTCAGATAAGATGGTTGGAAGGGGTTTTTCCGAAATGCGAAACCCTGATACGGGAACTTTCCCAAGTTTGTGGAGTGGCTGCCAAAAATGGACATAATTCTATCGCACGTTGCCTTTTTTATAGCTCCATTTAGATGATCTATCTATGTGCATCTTACCATTGCGTTTCTATTTATTTTCTGACACAGTAGGTTTTCTTATCAATTTACTTTAGAGCAACTTTCTACTCTGAATGTGTAATTGATTCTTCAGATGTTGTTAAATTGTATATGAACACAGTTTGAAGAATAATATATGAATATGAATATGAATATGAAGATAAATTAAGTAAATTCTTTACATTCTTTAGGGAACAATTATCATACTCTTAGGATAGGTATTAAGTCAATAATAATAGTATTTAAAATAAATTTAAATTTGGTAGAACGATTGGCAAGGCTCAAATGTTAAGCCACACTTCCTTGCGAATTATACACTAGACCATTATCAGAGATTGCGCCATTCATGGCCAAGTCACTGTCCATTTTGTGGGCCCTAACTTAGCTTGATACTTGATAAGAAATGAATTGGAAATTCTGATTAATTTGCGATGTGTAGATAGTAAAGACCTATAAAAGAGCCTCGCAGCTCTACAGACAGTGTATTAATTTCGCAATATGCTGAAGTTCGTGATCTTGTTGTCGGCTGTTGCCTGCGCCCTAGGAGGCACCGTCCCAGAGGGTCTCCTGCCCCAGCTGGATGGCCGCATTGTTGGAGGCACCGCCACCACCATCAACAGCTTCCCCTGGCAGATCTCCCTGCAGCGCAGTGGTTCCCACTCCTGCGGTGGATCGGTCTACTCCGCCAACATCGTTGTGACCGCCGCTCACTGCCTGCAGTCCGTGTCTGCCTCCTCCCTGCAGGTCCGTGCCGGTTCCACCTACTGGAGCTCCGGCGGCACTGTCGCCAAGGTTGCCTCCTTCAAGAACCACGAGGGATACAATGCCAACACTATGGTCAACGACATCGCCGTCATCAGGTTGAGCTCTTCCCTGGGCTTCAGCTCCACCATCAAGGCCATCGGTCTGGCCAGCTCTGCTCCCGCTAACGGCGCTGCTGCTTCCGTCTCCGGCTGGGGCACCCAGTCCTACGGCTCCAGCTCCATCCCCACCACCCTGCAGTACGTGAATGTGAACATCGTCGGCCAGTCGCAGTGCGCTTCCTCCACCTACGGTTATGGCAGTGAGATCAGGTCTACCATGATCTGCGCTGCTGCCAGCGGCAAGGATGCCTGCCAGGGAGATTCCGGTGGCCCACTGGTCTCCGGTGGTGTCCTCGTTGGTGTTGTGTCCTGGGGCTACGGCTGCGCCTACGCCAACTACCCCGGAGTGTACGCTGATGTTGCTGCCCTGCGCTCCTGGGTGGTCAGCGCCGCCAACTCTGTCTAAGGACTTTGTGAAATTAAACAATTTTCTGAAGATTACTTGGTGCTAATGTATTTATTGGGGGGCGATAGGTTTCATGCTTTCATTCACGTGTGGCAGAGTTCCAGAGGCGACTCTTCGTGTGGGCATTGTCCTTGTCCGCCTTGGTGACGGGACGCAGATGAGCGGCATCTACAATGTCCCTGCAAGTATTGGTTTTGGCCAGAATCCAAGGGGAGAAGGAGCAGTCAAACTTACTTAAACTCCTCGTAGCTCTGGGTGCTGTAGACAGCACGAAGCTTGGCATCGTTCCTCAGCTGGTAGAGCTCGCTCTCCCGGATGCCCTGCAGACAACTCTCTCGCAAGCGTAGCAGCTCCTCCTGCGTTATCTTAAATTCGTCCATGCTCAAATAAGTTTCAAGTCGTGTGGAAAAATCAATCGAATTGTTTTCCAACTGTTGCCTGGGCAACAAACAGCCAACTCAGGTGGAGTGAGGTCTGAAACACTTTTCATGTATTTTATGTACACACACACAGCACTCGAAATGTATTCCCGAGCCAAGGCAATTCAAGAATCTCTCTCTATTGCGGTCGGCGATAAGCTCATATTAGACTGCGATTAATTTTACAACCCGATATGATCGTGATCCGTGCACTATTCGATCAGTTTGTACTTGGCTTTCGAAGTGTACGCTGACATGACCGCCACTGGGATAGTTTTCCTTTTGTTCCTACTTCTGGGAGTAACCACAGCCAGCGATAGTACCAAGGAACGCATTGTGGGCGGAACTGAGCAGGCCATCCGCAATGCGCCCTGGCAGGTGTCCATACAGATAAGTGCGCGGCACGAATGCGGTGGCGTCATCTACAGCCAGGAGATCATCATCACGGCAGGTCACTGCGTGCACGGAAAGTCTGTTACTCTGATGAAGGTGCGTGTGGGCGCCGAACACCACAACTACGGCGGAACTTTGGTCCCTGTGGCGGCCTACAAGGTCCATGAGCAGTTTGACTTAAAGTATCTCCACTACGATATTGCCGTGCTGCGTCTGTCCAAACCTCTTAGCTTCGGCCTCTCCATTAAGGCTATCAATTTGGCCAGAGTGAGTCCCGCGAGCGGAACGAATGCCACCGTCAGCGGATGGGGCTACACAGCGCATTCGGATAGCTATGCCGGCAGCCTCCAGGCGGTCCAGCTGCAGATCATTGAGCGAGAACAGTGCGCCTCCAGCAGCTACGGCTACGGCTGGGACTATGTTGGTGAGGAAACGATCTGCGCGGCATACAATGAGCGGGATGCCTGCACCGGAGACTCTGGTGGTCCACTGGTGGCGAACCATTTGCTGGTGGGCATCGTCTCCTGGGGATACCAGTGTGCGCTCGACAACTACCCGGGTGTCTATGCAGATGTGGCCGTACTAAGATCTTGGATAGTTAAGGCTGCAAATGCAATTTAATTAGTTTTGGCAAAATAAAGAATAACATACTTTTTCCATACTCTACAAGTCGCCCCTCAGGTGGAATCGAACCACTTCGACGCTAATCGACTACGGATTTGAAGTCCGCACCCCGGACCACCGAGGTTCAGAGAGGCACTGTAAGTGCCAAAGCTGCCGCTTTTATATGCGCATCGTCGAGAAAAAACACTTGGGAATTACAAGAGCAGTTGCTACTTTTTGCTACAGATTTGTATCCACCCAGATAGGCCATTAACAGTTTAGATAACAACCAAACGAGATCTGTTATGATCAGAAGAGAACGATTTAGCCCTCACAAATCGAAATCGGTGATAGAAAACTTGGGAGTTACTCCCACGTATTGGGTACCGATGTATATCAACGAAAAGGAAACAACTTTACTTTCAAGTATGTAAAAAATTGGCAAAAAATTTTAATTCATTTGGAATGCAGTAGCAAAAATATGATTGTGTTAACTACGATCGCTTTCAAAGACGATTTCAATACCATTTGTATTTGAGGAATTTCAACAAAAGATCAAAGTAGTAAGTGGTAGGTTAGGAGATGCGCCTCACTTGCGGGGCTGTTGAATGTGATTCTGAGTCTTCTGCTGCACAGACATCGGGGGCTTAGGCAAGTGTGCCACCTGGGCAGAAGCGGGCGTAAAATCGGTGTGTCCCTTCACGGGAGCACCGCTCACCACAGCCGAATTCACGCTAACAGGTTGCTGTAAGTACAGTGTACATTTAAGTATTTACTTTCTCTCATATATTCCATATTTAAGCTTACTGTCAGACCAGTGCAATCCTCAGCATCCTTGGGGGCACGCTCCGATGCAGTGGGCTTGTGCTGGACAATGCGCATGCCACCAGCCTTCACTGGAAGTCAAAAAGAACATTTATAGTAGTATCGCAATGCACATGACGTCAGCAGAATGTGTAAAATATGTATTTTTGGACAGCACCGTCGCATTAACAAACGGTCTGCCAGAGTGTGCGTGAGTGCCGCCGCTAGCTCAGTGCATGTGTGGGAGCATGTTGTTTCGTTTGCTTATCGGCATTGGCCGAAACAGGCTAAGAACTGATAAGACAACAGATATTGCTGTATATTGTTGTGATTGGGTGCACAATTAATTGCCAGCGAAGCACTTCCAAGACGCTTTAATAGATTTTACCTCCAACACAGTTACACACACGCACACAGCTCACATGCATGCGCCTGGAAAATACCTATGCAATTGCACTTACAAGCAGGTGGGTGTCCAGCCACGAGATTTGGTTGTTCATCAGCCATTTTCTATTAGTTTGTAAGCTGCAATAAACAAATATGTTGGTAAATGACTACTATTATTCATACAAAAACAATTTCCGACCTACCTCTTTCGTATTTTTTTATAAATGCGCGGTCGCGTTCAGCTTTTGCGTTCTAAAGTTTTGTGTCGGTGTGAGCTCAGAAATATACCGTAATACATTGTCATTTTCAAAATATACCGTAAAATACCAAAGAAACATTATCTACACATTTGATACATACCAGAAACAAATGTATAGGAATTTAAATTAATGTTAATATCTTTTTTCCTGGCTGCTTTGAAACCTAATTAGGTTATTGATTATTAATTAATGATAATAAAATTAAATTCCTGTGTAAATATTTCTATCCGGATAAATTTTCAAAGCAGTTAAAACGTAAACAAAGTACGCAGGGCTGCAGGCACACAAATTTCTGGAAATCATATACTCATGCACACAGTGCAGGTTTCATAGAAAAGTAAATCAAAATCATCGAGTTGAAATTGAAACACTTTAAATTATATCAGGTACAGTAAAGGCATTTAACAGTCAAGATGAAAGACACAAAGGTGAGTTTTTTCATTCAATGCATGCGGCATTTTACAGTTACATCATGTCGCCGGCTGCAAGTGAACTTCGACTGATGTGGTTGTTGTTATTGCTGCTGCTGCCTCTACTTAAAACGGACATCATCGATTCGTTACAGCCATTCCCGGTTCTTAAGAATGACAATCTCCTGCGAGCAGCTCGCGGCGAAGTGGTCGATCGGGTTCCCGTCTGGGTAATGCGCCAGGCCGGTCGCTATCTTCCCGAGTTCCAGGAGCTGCGCAAGCAGCACGACTTCTTCACCGTTTGCCGCACCCCAGAGCTGGCATGCGAAGTGACCATGCAGCCGTTGCGGCGGTTTGATCTGGATGCCTCCATTATATTCTCGGACATTTTGGTCATACCACAAGCCCTTGGATTGACCGTGGAAATGCACGCTGGCGTGGGTCCAGTGCTGCCGCAGCCAATAAACACACCAGAGGACCTAAAGCGGTTGACTCCAGATGGCGCTGTGTCCCGTCTGACCTACGTGGGCGATGCCATAACCATGATGCGACACAAGTTGGAAGGCAAGGTCCCCCTCATTGGATTTACTGGGGCACCCTGGACCCTTATGGGCTACATGATCGAAGGTGGCGGCAGCAAGACCATGTCCAAGTCCAAGGCTTGGCTCACGGATTACCCCGAGGATACTAGGTTGTTTCTCAACCTGCTGACAGATGCAATCGTGGACTACTTGGAGATGCAAGTGAAGGCTGGAGCCCAAATGCTGCAGGTCTTCGAGTCGTCCGCCGAGCATTTGACCAAGGAACAGTTCCTGCTGTGGGCTGTGCCCTATTTGCGCAGGATACGCGATGAGCTTGTGGACCGCCTGACCAAGAAAGCTCTTCCATTGGTTCCGATGGTAAGTGATGTCAACTCAACTTCTCGTATGATTCATCTGAGTCTCTCTTCTCCTCAGACGCTGTTCGCCAAGGGCGCTGGGCACTCGCTGAAAGAACAAAGCGAGCTGGGCTACGATGTAATTGCACTGGACTGGACTGTAGATCCCATTGAGGCGCGTGCCCTGGTGGGTCCGAACATAACGCTGATGGGAAATTTGGATCCACAGGACATGTATCGTGATGCCGATGAACTGCGGACCTTGACCACTGAAATGGTTCACAAATTTGGCAAATCGCGTTACATTGCCAATCTGGGTCACGGCATAACGCCCCAAACTCCAATCACCAGCATGGAGGTACTGGTGGAGGCGGTTCACAAGGCATTGTAGCCGACTCATCTTTAACAGCTGTGCCTTTTTTTATCGAATGCAATTTGGTTTAGGGTTAGATCATTCGAATGGTATATTTTGGTTTTCTTGCTGCTGCTCCTGTACAACTTTGTCGTATATCATGAGGGTGCTGCCGCAGCAGATTAGGAGCGTTCCCAGGATAACTTCTGCAACATTAAATACATCTTTTAGTACACTGAAACGGCCAAACTATTATACATATTTACGTACTTTTGCCAGGCAACGTTTCGCCGAGTGCATAACCAGTTATCGCTGTGAAGGCAAAACTCAGAGAGTTGGCTACTGGAACGGCAACCGTGATGCTGGCACTTTGCAATGTCCACACATACAAAACACTACCGCATTGATTGAGACCAAATGGAACCCAGTACCGCCAACGGGAGCCTACCGTGCGTACTTCCAGGAAAATATTTCTCCACTTGGAGCCCGTGTCTTTGACAGACTCGATTCCCCGGCTGCCCAGGCGGATGAATGGGTTAGTCACACCCCAAAGCAGCCCCACTGCCAGCAATTGCACTAAACAAGACAAACAACGATTATAGTCATATCATTTTTATATTTTAGTAATTTACCAGAAATTTCTAACATTTTAATATTGTTTACTTGCATCAGCTGTTGTGCGCCAGTTCCATCTTTCTCTGAGCAACCCTGAGTATTTGTGTAGCCCTGGATGAGATTTTGACATTTGCGCCTCCCTGGCATTTTGACAATTCTTTTACGTCAGCTTTCATTTCCGGATAGGTGGGTTTTAGGCAATTTTCTACAAATTTAATCAAAAAACATCCGAATATACGACTAGACAAACGTTGCGAAATGACCGATATTCAATAATGAACATAAAATGCTATCGGCGATTGTTAAAATGTTTCCAAATGCGAGATGTCTTGTGTTTAAATTTGGTATCTGAATATTGGTCTTGTTTGTCTTGATTGTTTATGAATAAATATTCCTCCATTATATTAAACCGCCTTCTCTGACATTTTAGGATATTGAATAGCAGTGCTGCGGCCTAATCAGGAACAATGACTAAGACCAAGGGCGAGAAAATCAACAAATCGGCGATCAACGAAGTTGTGACCCGCGAGTGCACCATTCACTTGGCGAAGCGTGTCCACAACATTGGCTTCAAGAAGCGTGCACCGCGTGCCATCAAGGAGATCCGCAAGTTTGCCGAAAAGGAGATGGGCACCACTGACGTCAGGATCGACACCCGTCTCAACAAGCACATCTGGTCCAAGGGTATCAGGTATGTGGTGCCTCAATTGCTAATGAGAGAACGCATTCTTAAGGCCCTGTTAATTTTCAGATCCACTCCATTCCGCGTGCGTGTGCGTCTGGCGCGTCGCCGCAACGATGATGAGGATTCTCCCAACAAACTGTACACCTACGTGACCTATGTGCCGGTGTCCACATTCAAGAACTTGCAAACGGAGAACGTTGAGTCCAGCGACGACTAAGCAAAGTAATTGAGAGCCCAAAATACGGTTAATAAAAAGTAAATTTTTATTTAGAAAAAAAAAAACAAAAACAAGTGTTAACAAAATGTGACGAAACTGTGATTTCAAAGTGGAGCAATCTGCGGAACCACCACGTAAACGGCATTGCTAGTGGCCACTGCTAAGAAGTGAAGTTGTTTGCGGGAAAGCTGCAGCACCTCTAACGACTGCACTTCTGGCAATGCGCTGTCGCCAAGAATTTTCTGGAATCCCGCTGCGCCTTGATGCTTGTAGATTGTGAGAGGCTGCTCGGACAGTGCGTTTGACACGCAAAGCAGCAGGTCCTCTGATTCAGGCAGATGCATGAAGCGCACTTCACGCGCCTGATGGGAATCTCGCAGCTCTAGAACTTGGTCCAGCTGAAAGTCGCTCATGTCTTCGTTGCTAAAGCTGTGAAATGTTTTTAAATATTTTAGTCAAGTTTTGCATGCACAATGGACATAGAAGACCTGCCTGTAAATCCTAATGTCCGCTGCCGGCGACGACGTGATAAGGGCCACATAGCTGCTCACCATGCCCACGCCACGCTGGATCAGCGTCATTTGCTCTGTCTTTACATCCAGCAGCCGGCGAACTAAAGTGTAAACTTGTTTTTCCTTTATTTTCCAAAGCTCCACGGCTTTTGAAGTTAGCAGCAGAATCGGCGAATCATTGGTGGCTGCCACGACCAGCAGCTGTTTTGCATCCCACCTGTCCACAGCGGCCTGCCTGCTGGTGCCATTTTTATCGAGGCATTTGACAATTAGTTCGTTGACTTCTTGCACAGCCTGGCACTGACTCGTTCCCAGACCAAACTCCAGTTTTTTGTTGTTCACCCATAGGTCCTCTCTAAATATAACAGAATTCGTATTGTTGTTGGGATGTAACAGTGTTGTTAAGTCTGCAAGAAAAAATATTGTTTTAAACTGTGTCGAATTTTGCACACTCTTTCAATGGTAGCGTTTTGTGTTGGTACATATAATTTCTTCTGGATTGATGTCTACGTAGATCTAAACTAAAATCACCAAGATAAAAACTATTTCTGCGTATATTGGAAATAATGCTGTATGGATGCATATAATCAAAGCCTTTCGCGACAATCAGTGGATAAGTCACCGAACTTCTCCAGTCATAGTGTATTTCAAAACAAAATTGATAACGGCGCCACAGAGTGAGGTTTGGTTCGACGAGCACTTAAATAGAGGCAGCCAAACGGCAACTGCAGTTGCAAATCGACAGCTGATAGACAAAGAAAGAAGCTCTGAGCGACGCCACTTGTTAGGAGAAAAAGCCAAATTGCTTGGCGAAAATGTACAAGGCGCAATACCTTTGGCTGGTTGGCTTTGTCCTAATATTAGGATCGGCCACTGAACGAAGCACGCCCAAGATAAGCTTCACAGCGTTGGTTAGGTGAGCATGGCGCATGCCGATGGGCCATACATTTTTAAATCTCACTATCCACTCACAGTCTAAAGACCACTCCTGCGACGCGTCTGGTTACGACGAGCAAGACTAGTTCCGGTGGCTCCCTGCCCATGGTTATCAATACCTGGAACTTTATAGATGCCAATTTACTGGCCTGGCGGATTCTAAATGTGACTCAGGGTGGTCTCCGCCAGACGCGCAATGCCGTAGTGGAGGGCTGCACCAAGTGCGAAAAGCAGCAGTGCGATAGAACTGTTGGCTTTGGCGGCTCTCCCGATGAGTTGGGCGAGACAACGTTGGACGCAATGATCATGGACGGCAGCAGCATGGATGTGGGAGCTGTGGCAGGGCTCAGAGGTATTAAGGATGCTATTCGAGTGGCTCGTCACGTTCTGGAGCACACAAAGCACACCATGCTGGTGGGCGATGCAGCCTCTCAATTTGCTCAGGCAATGGGATATCGCTCCGAGTCCCTGGTTACGCCCGAGTCAAAGGCTATGTGGCAGGAATGGACAGCGGAAAACTGTCAGCCAAATTTCTGGAGGAACGTTTATCCAGATCCATCCGTCAGCTGTGGTCCCTACAAACCTAAACCGACGCCCCTAACGCGCTGGAAGGAGGATCGTGCCCGTACCGAGTACGCTATTGGGCACAATAATCATGACACCATTGGCATGATAGCCATTGATGTCGAAAATAACATCCATGCGGGAACCTCAAGCAATGGAGCGAGTCATAAGATCCCAGGACGGGTCGGAGATTCACCAATACCCGGTGCTGGCGCGTATGCGGACAATGAGGTGGGCGCTGCCGTGGCTACCGGAGATGGCGATATTATGATGCGTTTCTTGCCCACTCTGCTAGCTGTGGAAGCCATGCGGGCAGGCAAGAAGCCTACGGAAGCAGCTGAAGTGGGCATTCGTCGGATCGCTAAGCATTACAAAGACTTCTCGGGTGCCGTCATTGCTGTAGATCGCCTGGGCCAGTATGGGGCAGCCTGCTATGGCATGAAAGAGTTTCCATTTGTGGTCAGCAACCCATCCAAGACAGATATCACCACGCGCAAGGAGACGGTCAAGTGCATAACGGACAAAGAGAACGTAAACATAGTTTTATTGTAAGCCGATTTGGAATTTCCAATGTATTGGGTCGGTCAGTCCCATTGTTCAGTGCAGTTGAATCAAATAAATATATAATTGAATCAATGCTTGTTGGATTGTTTATAAAATAAGGTTTAAACTAAAATGCCAAGAAAATGTCCATGTGTTTACATGATAACTGCACATTTTTTACATATCTACTACCGATGTATGAACAGTAACTGTGGTCGGCTGGAGTATATCATTTTTATACCCTATTTCCTTTCATTGGTGTTATAATGCTGCTTAGGAGCCTAATTATTAAGAGCTTATTTCAGACTGACGTTATCTTGACCGCCTCTGTTGATATGTAGTATCTCCATCCAAAAACCTTTTATTTCTTTGGCAATATTTCGTAAGGGACATAAAACATAATTCCTTGAGACGACAAACCTTCATGCGTACCATATAAACTTCATTCTCGAGGGTATGCAGAATGTTTTGATGCAGCCTACTAATCAATATGATTTATTAAACTGGTATATATGGTATTGCTGTACTATTCTTTTCGTTATAGTCACACTTACCGGCAAATCAGCTTCGACTTACAGAAGAAGAGATATAAGACCCAAAAAGATTTTAGGGGAATAGATACCGTTGTCTCTTTTGGTTTGCAGGAAAGGTTAGAAAACATAAACTTACTACACAGTCTCAGTTTATTAAAAATGCAGAGCGATTTTAACAAATCGGGGGCAACTTGGGTTAATTGGGTATTTTTACGGTATGTTTAAAAAATGATAAGTATATTTCGGTATATTTCTGAGGGTCACAATTTCCGCCAAATCGGCGTCGGCATACAGAAGAAGAAAAAAAAAGATTGCAAAAAAAGCGGAAAAGCGGCGGCTGAAGATACAATTTAATCGAAATCGAAATAAATAAAAGCCTTCAAAATTAATAAAAACGCGCAGACAAGTGGCCGCAAGTCGCTGACTAAAATGGCTATACAACTTGATAAAATTCTGGCAGACATTGCCAAGGAGAAAGCGGTGCATCCAAACAATGGCGGAGCGACCAAACAGGAGCAAGAGGACGCTTGGGGCAGGATTGGGCGTCTGAACAAGCTCTCCGTGCACGAGTCGCGCTCCATTTTCATTGTGCTGCAAAAGAAGTACCATCAGGAGAAGCTCAAGGGCAATTCGACGTGGAAGCTGTTCAATGTGATGAACCAAATACACCAGGAGCCCAAGGCGGCCGTGAAAGAAGAAGAGTGAGTTAGAGAAATGCTGAAAATGGCGGGTTAGGTAATATATTGTTATTCATTTAGCGACCAAGTGCCGATCGACGATGTGGAGGAGTTTGAAATGCTGGAGGTGCAGGAGCCAGAAGATGATGAAGATGCTCATCAGTTTGGCCAGCCCACCAACTCCACTGGCTCTGCTTCTTCGGATGGGGAGAGCCCAAGCAAATCGCACAGCACCGGCTCGCCGGAGAAGGAGGAAAAGGTGTACTCCAAGGGCAGCATTGACACACCGCGTCCAGCGTTCGAAGAGAAGAAGCTGCTCAACACAATGGCCAATAATACTCCGAGGGCCACGACAAACAATCCAGTGTCCATGGCCGCCGCAGTCTTGCAGAAAAAGGGAATTACCGTGAAAAAGACTCCCGTCTCGGCTGGAGCTGCACAAAAAATGACGCCGACACAGTCGCAAAGCAACAGCAACAGGGCAACGTCCTCGTCTCGCACCACCATTCAGTTGCCAGAGTCTTTGAAGCGCAAACTGTCTGAGGAGTACTCGGGACCATCATCGCAGAAGAAGGCGGCAAAGACTCAAAGCCCAAAACAGACGGGCAACACAGTTGCTGCTGCTTTGGCCGCTGCAAGCGTACCCGATCCCACAGTAACTTCCAATGTCGTCCACACAACCACGGCTCAACTGATGCAGGTAAAGAAAGAACGTGACGGCAGCCACTCGCCACCGCCCGGCATCAATATCATCACCGTACCGGCGGCGCAACAGATCAACGGCGGTGGCCCAACATCCTCGACAGCTGCCACCGTTGCCTCCACTTCAGTGGCCTCCACCAACGGCTACTCGCCACACATCGAGGAACTGGACTTCAAGAACGACATTATCTTTGACTCAAAGCTAAATACGAACTCCTCCAACGCTCCAGAGATTATCAACTTGGGCAACTTTGACCAGTCGCTGCCGCCGACATTTTTCAAGAATTTGTGCAACTCTTCGCGCCACGAGGCCCTTGGATTATACGTTGCAAACGTGATGAACCGAATCTCATTGCGTGCCGCCGCCAAACTCGAGTTGGGCATCTTGCGCACCATTCTCGATGTGCAAAGTGACGAGCTGGACCAGTAGATCCAGTAGGTCGAAACAAGTATATAAATTACCTAATTAAGTGAATTCGAATTACTCAACTTACTTATTAGAAGTACTAGAAAGTATTTATGTAGAACGGACCACCCTCTCCTCAATTCCTATATAATTTATATAATTCCAATAATTTACCCTCGCGATATTGAGTTGGTTCATCCTTCAACATCGCCTCAATGGAATATTTTGACAGTAATATATTTAATTTTTTCACAGCAGCACGATTTGATGGACCCCTTCCCCCCATGTTCCACTTAATTTCTAAATGAGTTTTTACTTCAATAAAAATAAATATGTGACTCACGTGCATTGCTGTCTAGGTGCCTATGCCTGAAAATGTGCGCTTCTGGCTGCCACGAGTAGTATTCCACCTTGTCCGGACGCTGACTTATGGCCAGAACATCATCATCTCCCATCGTCAGTGTTTCCATGCGGGAAACATCTTTATGGGGCAGCTGCTGCAGTACGACAAAGTTCTCCAACACCTTCGGAGGCTCTGAAAATCAGCCGCAAGCAATTATAAAACCATCATATGAGGGAGTTTACTGCGCTCACCCTCCAGCCGATGCTGCACTGCAGCTACATTTTGTTGCAGCTGCTGCCAATCCGCCAGCGCATCCATATCCACTCCCCGCTTTGACTTGTAGCCAGGCTCTGCATTGCCATTGCCAGTGACCTGCTCGTAGTTGTCCACAGTCAGCGGCTGAGTGAAGATCAACGGGCTCTCCACATGCAGATTGGGCAGGTTACGGGCTTTGTTTTCCAGCAGCTCGTTCACGGACAGACCATTAACAGAGTCTACCCAGAGACTATCAATATTATTGTTGAGGATCCGTTGCTGTTCGGGCAGACTGTTGTCCACCAGCAGTGATCCCGCCACGTACTGATCGCCATTCCGCAATAACAATTTATCTGGTTGCCAGTGGATGCCGTTCACAGGTCCCTCAACGGCAAGGTCGTTGTATAAGTTGACATTCTGCAGACGAGTTGTACCAGCAATGCTGTGATTTCCGTATATGTAAACAGCCTCATTTATCCAAGTTGCTATGGAAGTATTGGCCACCAGGCTGGGGGAACTAGCATACAACCGACTGATGGTGGCCCGGTCAATGGTTTTCAGGGCATATATGGTCGTGCTCTGGGTGCTGACATTATTTTCGCTCAGACGTAGGACGTCGTCAACTAAATTTAGCTGATTTATTAACACATTGTTTAGATTACCTTCCACATGGGATTCTGGTAGGTTCCAGTGGCCAGTGATATTGTGCACTCCGGCTGTCTTTAAAGTGTTTGCCACAAAATCATCGAAATCCAGCGAGAAGTTGCTAAACGAATGAGTACATTTTAAAAATAAGCAATTGGCGCCAATAAATGTACTCGTCTGTATTCAACTACATTGACAGCGAAGCTATCGAAAGCAGTGCATGGGAACAGAATGCATTGTTTGTCTACACAAATTAACGGAACGTTTTATTTGTTCATTGAATTCCAATTCAAAATAAGAAAATTAAATTCTTTAAATTTAGTGCCAAAATGCACTGCTTGCACTCGGATTGTTGATAGTTTTAAACATATCGGTAACATTGATGCGTTTAAAATCGATATTTTTATTAGATCGGCAGAGCATCAAATACCAATTTGTAAAATATAAAGTCGTAAGGCATACAATCCAACAAAAATGTGTCTTTATAATAAGCCAAATAGGTTCTTCAATCGGATTAAATGAGTGGTTCAGTGTTAAAAGTCTTTGCAAGCTGGTAATATCAAATAGAACATCAACATCGAGTAATGTGATTTCGGACCACGGTATATTACTGTGTATTTTGCAAATGAGATATATTATGTAGTATATATATACGGTATATTACTGTGTATTTTGCAAATGAGATGGTATACTTTGGTATATATTGGAGGGTCTGACGGTATATTTTGTCGATATCTCCGCAGTCACACTGCTAGTTCGCCAACAACAAAAAACGTAAACTCACTCTAAATAAAAAAGTAATAATAAACAAATTGAATAAAAAAAACCATCCAGCAATCGTTAAGAACCGCTGTGAGTGTCTTCGTTTCAATAAAATGCCTTTCAGCCCATTTGTTTACTAGTCGCGAAGTTAATGAATCATTCTTGAAAACTGCCCGACCGGACTATTAAAAGTGCATTTAAACAAAACCAAATCGGCCACACACGAGGTAATTAAATGCACTCCACTCAACTTTGTATACCTCATCTGCGCCATTTGCAAACGTGTACAGAAATTTCTGCCTGCCATGCACAGTACAGCACACAGCTGATTTTTCTGGGAAATAGATGACGGACTAGACCAGTGCTAGTAAAACTGTGGGTTTTAGAGCGCGAAAACAATTGCAAAGTGAAACTTAATACCCAAAAGTGAACTAAACACAATGGTAACACGTACGTACCCCATGCCCTCAACAAGTGCGTCGTTTCCATTGTTGACGCTGCCACGTAGCATTACCACGCGTGCCGTCAGAGGCTGTGCGAAAGTGACGTCATGCCTGAAGCCCAACGGAGCGCTGACTTGTTGGCCGCGCGTCCGACTGAAGTAGTTCCGCTTGATGTGCTCCACCTGGAAACCATTAATGGGGCCCTGCAAGAATGGTCATATGGTTCGTTAGGGCTCGGGTAGCCAACCCATTTCGGCTGCTGGCACTCACATGGAAGTCCAGAAGACCCTCGAAAGCGGTAGATGCAAATTCCAGCCTCTGCCCCGTTCCGCCCAGCTCAATTCGCTCACTGTCCAGCCAGACTTGATCCAACAGCTGCTCCGCCTGGTGACCGTTTAGATAATTGTAAGTGGGAGTCCGCTCGAACTTCACATTCTCCGCATGGAAGGTGTCGTGTTGCTCCCCGTTCAAGTACTTGTCCAGCGTCGCCAAATGGTAGCCATTCAAACTGGTCAGATTGCACAGCTTTGCCACCTCGAGGCTGCCGTTGATGGTAACAGGGGCCTCCATGGAGCCTCCGGCGTCTGTGTACAGCATGTCCTCGGGCACCCGCAAGCCGTTTACGCGGCCAACCAGGAGCTCCGATTGCATTACAATGGGATTCTCTGTCAGGTAATGTTTGACATGCAGTTATTTGCTGTTACAAAATTGGATTTGTATTTGAATCTTCTTACCAAATCGCACTGATTGCAGATGCTCCGACGCATTCAGCTTGTAGCTGCGGCTCACCAATTCCTCCAGAGTGTAGTTGTTCAGCTTTCCCTGGAGTTGAACACCTTTGCTGCTCTCCAGCGCGGCCAGCACCTGCGGAGCCGTGAAATTCTGGTCTCCGCTGGCCTCCAGCCAGTTTCCACCGAGTTGAGCGGCTTGGATGCCATTCAGGGAGTGACCAAAGCTCAGGCTGCTTATGTTTACTGAATGCCTGAAGCTGAAGTCCCCCACATACTTGATGTTGCCCGCCAGCTGCTGTAGCTGCTGCTCCAACTGTGCCACGTTGACTTGGTTGATGCTGCCCTTTAGCCACATGTTTCGGGCGCGAATGCTGCCATTGAAATTGGCTGGCAGTGTCCAGCCGTCCAACGATTGACTGCCATGTGAGTAGATGGAGGCCAGTGGCTGGCCAAAGAGCATGCCATTCATATGCATTTCTTCGAGGTGCACATCCTCGCCATCCAGCTGGTCCACATACAGCGTGCCATTTGAGTGCTGCTCCTTGCTTACCTGCAAATAGTCGTCCAGTTCCAAGCCATTCATTACCAGTGGCCGAGCCTTCACTTCCCCCAACTCCAAACCCTGTAACTGAACCGCGATCGGAATGCTCTGGTTGCCACTTTTGGTGAGCAGCACCTCCGGCAGCTTCTCCACATCAATGCCATTCAGCCATTTGACTTCACCGAAGCCCTCGCTTATCTCCAGGCCCTGCGGCAATGTCTTACTGCCCTCCACCACCTGCACTTCTTCCACATTTAACTTGACAAGCTTCTGCAGATCTTCGGCATTTACGAAGCTCAGTTCCGTGTTGTTGGCCACGAGCTGTTGTTCAAACTTCACATTCACATCCTGCAGAGTCTCATCCAGCCGCAGACCTTGCGTAAGTGTTTCTGCAGCCGATCTCCCTGTTGATGCATCAAGCAAATCCCCCACCTGCAGCAGCCTTTCAATCGTCACATCGCCATCAATTACAAAGTCTCCTTGTAGTTGAAGCGATTGATGGGTTATCTTTACAGGCGACATGGCTCGTAGTTCTGCTCCCAGCAGTTGGCCCTAAAAGCGAAATGATTTTATTTTACATCAGTCTAATGTTCGAGCACCTACCGCAATGGTAATGGGTTCCATGACGCGCAGGTTCTCTAGCCGCTTAGATCCCTCAATCACCTGGGTGTGACTGGCTTCGCGGAGCAGCAGATCGAAGCGCTGGCGGTCCACGTGGATGTGATTGAGTCTCTGATTGATGAGCAAACGATTCACTTGTATGGGCTGGGAGAACTGAACCTCCTGCTGCACAACAAACTCGCCGCCATCCACCGGTATGAGGTGGCCCAGGGAGCGGTCGTTGATCTCGTTGCCGTTTACCACCACAGCCTCAGCACTAAGGTGCGTGATGTCTGCGGCGGACTTGATGAACTGTACGTCCACGCTGCTCCGTTTGAGTGTTTGCTCCAGCAGCTGTGTCCAGTTGAGGTCGTTGAGATTGCCCTCCAGCTGGAGTTGTTGCACTGAGAGCTCCTGCAGGAAGGGTTTCTGCTGCTCCCTCGCTGGCTCTTTGTACTCCTCGCTGACATACACCTTGCTGGCAGTCACTGACTCGTATACAGGCTCCTTGGAATCCAACCCATTGATATTGCTGGCTTGCATGCTGTCAGAGACCACCAGGGTATCCACTGTAATCTCCTCGAATTCGTGCTGTTCGGCAGCAGCTCGCTTCATGGGATGTCGGGTGCGAGCTGCCTTGGCATCCTCCTCGATCACATCCAAGGCCTGCTTGGCATACTGCAATGCATCCCAGTAGTTGGCGCTCAGCTTCATGTGTTCATCTACAAGCTGGATTAGCGCTGCATGCATTAGAGATCCGTTGGGTATGCCCACGGGTATGCTTCCGACTCACCGATTTTGATTTGACCCGCTTAATGCGGGATTGCATCATTATCCGCTCTCGCTGCTTGGCTCTTTGCTGCAAGCCCTTAAATAGCTGATCCACATTGATCTGCTCTAATCGCTTTTGTTGCTCCCGGGCCCAGTCGATGATCTGCTGGCGGAGTGTGTTGGCATGTTCGTCCTGCTTGTAGAGCGGTTGAAAAATGTTCGTCTCATTGGCGGCCATATTCTCGTTGGCAATAACTGAAGGAACACAAATCGTGGGTGAATATGGGAGATAATTAGCACGGGTCATGGCTTGCCTAGGTAGCTCTGTTGCTGCTCCTCGTAGCTGCGCATGCGGGCCACTCCCCGACTGAGGGCACCTTCGGTGAACTGTACCTTGGACTCCTCGAACTTCCAGTCATTTAGATTGTAGATTTTCACATCCTGCTTGTTGCAGGCCACCAGCAGCAGAAACTTCTCCGATATAGAGTGCTGTCGAATATAAAATTCCCCATGGGAACCTGCCGATAACTATTTTACAAAGACATTCGATACCTGAACGGGAAGGAAGCGCTCCAGGGCATAGAAACTCAGTCGCTGGTAGGGCACAAACTGACCCTTTTCGTATACATAGATGACGGTATCGGCCTCGCCTGTTGCGGCACTGGAACCTCCGATTGTGTTCCCCAGAATGAGGAAGTGCCTGCGACTCACCTCGTTCACGGGGAGACTGAAGTACTTGACGTCCACGGCCCCGTTGCTGCGCAGCCGCTGAAAGAGTTGGAAGCGACGATTCTTTGGATTGTACTTGTAGATGTCAGAACGGGTGGCAGTTCGGCCTTGGGCATTTGCGTAGTTGGCCACGGCCACATAGTCGGCATAGTCTATGCCGAAGGCCTCCATTCGACGGGCATTGCTGCAGGGGATCGCTCCCAGGCGCTGGAACGTACCGCCCGTCCACTTGAAGTAGGGACATTGCTGCTGCACCGCCGCTGGGCCCACCTCCGAGTCGAAGGCCTGCAGAAGGGTCAGTTCTTGGCTGCTGATCCGCAAGTACATGCCCCGCAGTCGCAGTCCGCCAAAGTACTGAACGGTCCGTACACCCGTCTCGGGGGACAGCTCATAGATGGGAGAACCTTCGCGGGCCAGCTGTACTGGCTCCGTGAGATTATAGCTGAGTGCCACATAGCCGCGTCCTGCATAGGCCAGGCAATCCAAGGCCACAGCTTTGGGTGTTGGCAGCTCCAGCTGCAGCTCGTAACTCTGCTCCGCCGGCTGCCAGGCAAACACGGCAAAGTGTCGCACTCCAGCCGCATCCTTGTGCAGAGCTGTCGCGTATTTAACCGCCGGCAACTGTAGAATGCAAATGTCGAGGGGAAAGAGAACTGGCACGGATGCCACACGGGTCAGGCCATCGAAGCTGAAGCTGGCTGGAAATAGGAAATAAAATACAAAACAATAAAGAGCAATCCCACTCGTACATCTTAAGAGTTTGTTTCGATTGGTTGCGAAGACTAAACCAAACGATTTCCTCTAATTCTTCGTCAGCCATGGCCGATGAAGAGCTGCAAACCTATCGACGCTGCATTGGACAGCAGCTGGAGGAGCTGGAGATGCTTAGCTCGATATATTGCGGAACCGGAGAGCTGCAGATGCTCGATGCAGGCGTCGTGGCCGATTTCAACGAGTTCCTGGAGACAGATACACCTCCAAGCAGTTTGCGCTCGCACCTGGAGTACATGGTGAAGCTGAGCGTTCCCGCCAATCAGCGCCTTGATGTGCGCGTCGAGCTGCCCCACCTATACCCACTGTTGGAGCAGGCCCGCGTCAGTGTGCACAGCCCCTTGCTGGGCAAGGCCAAGGAGCAGCATCTCAAGATCGAGTTGGAGCAATATCTGAGCGAGAAGCGGGAGGAGGACCCAGAGCCGTACATATTTCAACTACTCAGTTGGTTGCAGGAACAGATAGAGGCACTCATCCAAAGACCCGCCAGCGAGTTTGAGCTGACGCATCTGGTACCCCCAGAGCAGCCACAGCCAGCAGCACATCTGGAACGACTTTGGATCTACTCGCATCACATCAAGTCGAGTGCCAAGCGACAGGAGCTTATACGCCAGGCCCGCCAGCTGGAATTGACCGGCTTTAGTAGGCCCGGCAAGCCTGGCATCATTTGCGTGGAGGGACAGACGGAACAGGTGCAGGAATTCTGGCGAACCATCAAGTCCCTCCGCTGGCAGAAGATCAGCGTGGTACGCTCAGAGCCGAGGCAGCGCAGGCGCGTCTTTGAAACCTTCAGCGAGCAGCTGTTCAACGAGGAGGACGAGGGAATCATGAACATGGGACAGTTCATAAAGTTCCTGGAGGCTCACGGCTTTGGCTATATGAAGTCTGAGTTGTTTGGTTTAGCCTAAACAATTCTACATTGTTAATAAAACTTGTTACTTGATTTTGGATAAAAAAACCTTTGTCGAAAAACTGTGGCACATCGGCCGAGCGCTTGTGCAGATCCGATTCCTGGTCCGTGGCCAGCCGTTCGCTGGGATAGCTCTCCTGGAAGTGCACCTCGAAGGCATTGCCAGGGAGCCAGGTCCAGGTACTCAGGAAAATCAAAAGAAATAACAGACGATGACACATTTGAGGCTAATATATTCTTGAATATAATGCACAAACGAACACACACAAAATGCAACACGTGCACGTTTAATCTACAAATGCAGCTTTTGACTGTGCTGTAATCCAAGCGGAGCTTTTCTAACTGTTTCGAAAGCATCTTAGTGCGTGCTGTGTGGGACACAGAGATGCATTTGCACTGTCAGATTGTTGCTTACCCTGTATGTCGAAGGGGCATATCAGCACTGGTGCACGGTATCTTTGATTTATTTATTGCATGTTCAATTTCTGCTTAGTGTGTTCCCCTTTACGCTATTAGTTTTCATTTTGTTTTATATAAATCCGTCTGCTTCGATTTCGGCCACCCGCGAACCTTCGACTGTGGTGACTATCGGCTCCGATGTGGTTATCTCGTTGCTCAAGTCCACCTCCACGTTATCCGGCTGTTGCTGTGCCTCCTGCCTATGCTTCTTCATGAATGCGCAGTAGCAGCAGTGATGCGAACGACTCGAACTTTCTTTGAGCTTTGCTGCCTCTCTTCGTCGTCGAACGCACGTGATTTGGGAATAGGCGCGCCTGAAGTTCTCATTATTGAAGCCATAGATGAGCGGATTGACGGCGGCATTGAGGAACATTAGATACTGCGATAGATACCAGAAGAGCTGCATTCCGCTGTTGACTGTGCTGTCGTCGGAGTAGTACTTCTCCCGCAGCACCATCAGAATGGTGAAGGGCAGCCGAAACACCGCAAAGACCACCACCACGATGAAGAGGGTCTTGGCCACGCTGCGCTTGTAGCTAACGGTGATCGGATTTTCACGGTTCTGAACCCGCTTCTCATACCGATCGAGCTGGAGGGCGGTCGTTGGGGGGATCGATCAGTTCTGTGAAGTCTGGGGAGATGAGCGTTGGCTTACCTTGTAGAAAATGGCAATGTAGCAGATCAGCATGATGCCCAATGGCAGCCAGACCAGTATGGTTATGAGGACGTACCAATACTTGGGCAGAATGGCAGTGTTCTCCTTGCAATAGCGCTCTGTAAAGTTCTTCCAGACTCGAACGTGATACGAACGATAGAGAGCCAAGGGCGAGGCCAAGAGGACACCCGCAATCCAGGTGCAGATAATCACAATTTGGGCTCCCCGCACGGTCAGTCGCGTCTCCCTGGGCAGAACAATGGCCGTGAGACGATCGTAGCTAACCACCGAAAGGTTAAGCACGGCCGTGATCAGGAACACCACCACCAGGAAGCCCTCCAGTTTGCAGCCCACACATCCCAGCTGATAGTTCTGGTAAAAATCGTTGACCATGAACATGGCGGGGCAGATGGCGAGGGTCAGCAAGTCGGCCATGGCCATGTTGCCTATGATGAGGTTGGTGGGTGATCGCAGCGAACGGTTCATGGCTATGAGGTAGATCATGATACAGTTCCCATACAGCCCAAATGCAATTAGCGGAATGAAGATGCAGATCTTCCAGGCTATTTCCTCGCTCGACTTGTGCAGCCAAATTCGCTCAGCGGGAAAATCCCACTTGCTAAAGTCGAACTACGTTTGCAGATGGGTTAAAAGTTTGGCATCCACTTCGCACTTACTCACTTACTTCAGAACTGGTGGTGTTTCGGGCACTCATTTCGCTGGCATCCGTGGGACGACTGCTGCTGCTGCTGCTGCCAAATTAACAGGAGCCACCTTTGAGCCTACAAAATTCCGACTGGGCTGACTGACAAAGCCATTAACAGTTGTCACTGATAATGCACACTAAAAGCTAATGAACCACATAGACACCCATCGAGTGGGAGGCCATATGTTGTGCATTGAATAAACAAAACGTTAATTGAAAGCATTTTTACTAGTCCTATTATCATTGTACAACTAATTTGATAGAATCTCTAGTCGATGTCCAGCTTGCGGAAAGAGCCCTCCGCGCCAAAGATAGACTCCACATTGACTTGTTTTCCTGGTCTCAGCTGCTCATTCACCCCATACTGAGAATCCTCCTTGAAATAGTCGCTATAGTTCAGCAGCAGCCGCTCTGCCTCCGCTTGGATGTCGGCTATGCGCCCATTGCTGCCACCGTACTCCTCGGGCAGGTATTCCAGTGGTATGACTTTGCTTAATTGCTCCAGATTCTTGTACACATTAAACTTGGAAAAAGAGGAGAAGAGAAAAGATACAAGTTAGCAAGAGATAACCTCAACATATTATAAGCCCAATCAGAGCAGACCGATAGCTCGGCGATAAATAATTCACTTCCTGTATTGGCCACTGACCTAGCCAAGCTTTGACACTGAAACTGAACATTCTGAATAGTGAACATCTGTAGACCTTCCAACGGGGAGGGCGCTTCAACGTTTATCAATTGTCAGCCACTTGGCTGATAGTCCGTGATAAGGGTCCGATAAGCGACGAAAATAAATTAATAGGTGGTGGCGGGTGGAATTATTCAGTACTTAAGCTAGAGATTCGGCCACTGTTTCGGCCAAAAATACACTCACTCGTTGCTGCAGCTTGCTGGGCATGAGACCCTTGGCCAGATTGAGAAGCGCCACCGCCTCCTTGGGGCAGTTGATTAAGTGAATGCCCTTGATGCGGGTCGGCTGTGCCTTCTCAGCGAAGACGCCCATTCGCTTGATGAGGTTAAAGTCCAGTTGGGCCAAGAAACTCATACTCAGCTTGCCCATGTCGATAATCTCAATGTTGCCGCTGACATTGGCATGGTCGTCCTCCCATATGGACTGCTCCGAGAGCATCGTCTGGTATCGGAACAGATCCAACAGCTTAAAGACTTTCGGATCGAACTTCTCATAGTTGGTGATCACAATGCGTGGCCCCGCGGGTCCCCAGGCATTGGGTAGCCGCACACAGGTACTGAAAATAGGATGAACTCCACAATAATTGATCGATCTATCTAACCAACCAACCGTCCCTCACCCCGTTCGACACAGTGCCAGTGTCTTGGCGTCCACGACTCGATTGGCAAAGAGCTCCGGCATCAGGGTCTTGATCGTGTAGAAGTGCTCGAGCTTGGACTTGGTCTTCTCCAGGCTAAACTTGCAGCCTCGCAGGAATCCCACCAGGAACTGCGCATCCTGGCGAGCCTTCAGGTGCGGTTGCTTGGCGAGCCACTCCCGCAGAGCATCCAAGTCGGCTGGCAACCGCTCCGTCACTTCGTTCAGCTCAGTCTCGGCAATGTTGCGCAGCTCGGCGGTCAATGGACGTAGCTCGGCCATGATGGATGTGGGGAGGAGTCGTTGCTGTGCGCCCTGGCAGCTGTGCGGCTACTGAAACGTGTCTCCCAGTCAAGCAAAAAGCCGAAACCGTAGCCGAATCCACCAAATCTACATCTAGTGCCATTATGGCCAATCGTTGAACTGATAGCGATAGAGACGTGCTCTTGGACGGCTCTTTCTCTTTCTCGCGGACTCGCTCTCTCGCAGGCAGATAAAAGGGGGAATTTCCTGCATCGGATCGGACTCTAGCAGCTGCTAAAGGGAGAAGAGGGGCGGGAGCAATAATTGGCCACATTTAGATAATGTCACTGGATCGAACCAGGCAACACAGTTCATTGCTTGCAGCCATATCTTATCGCCGTATCGCTGCGGCACAGTTGGCTGGAAATAGTCAATTATGGGACTACCTTTTTTAATTGTTTAATTATTAATCTCAAGTGCAGCCCTAAAAGGGATTAACATAAGCCCAATCAACACTTGAGGTGCTATAAAGGACATGATACAACAAATGAACTCAACGAATTGTTTATAAAAGTTATAACTGAAACGAATAACTATGTGCAACACTATCGATCATTGTTATCAGCTAATCTTGCATGGGAATCTGATGGCACACAGTGAGTGGCGGATAGACCGAGAATTTCGCGTGTGGTTTCAGCACTTTCGCACCACTGTGAGGTGCGCTCGTTAGCTGGGGGAGCCGCGAGTCGCTTCAGTTCGGTTCGGGTGTTCAATCGAAGCAGGCACCGAGAGTCCCATTAGTCGTGTACACACCTGGGCAGAGCACACACACAAACACACTCGCAGCACACACACACACACAACCCCTTTGGCACCATATTTTCAAATTTTACAATAGTTTTGGCATTTGTCCGTTCAAATATTACAGCAGCCCAAAGACCATGACCAATATCCGAACGCTGGTGCCGGAGCTGGCGGAGCAGGCTCGCATGAAGCTCAAGGAGGATGAGACGACCAGGGCGGAGTGTATCGAGGCGCTGCGCCTCTGGATCACTGAGCTGAGTTACCTGCAGGCGCGCACCGACGATCAGTTCCTGGTCGCCTTCTTGCGCCACTGCCACTGGAACGTGGACGAAGCCAAGAAGCGGGTACTGTTCTATTACACATACAAGTCCAAAGAGCTCGATCTTTTCAAGAGTCGCCTTGTGGACGATAAGCTGCTGGAGATGGCTCGCTCTGGGTAAGTAGGGGCAAATCCCCGATACTTATTCCACACGTTCCCTAATTCTGATGACTTCTGTTGCAGCATTTTCGCCACGTTGCCCACTCCGATCGGACCCGGTGGCCCCCGCATCCACTACACACGCATGGGCCACATAGAGCCATCGAAGCACAGTGTGAGCGACATTTTCCGCTTCCATGCTTTCCGCGCCGAAATCGAGATCAACACGGACGACAACTGGAACATTGCCGGTGTGGTGGAGATAATTGATTTCACCAAGATCCCATACTCCTTGCTCCTCCAGTTCGACCCGGGTATGTTCCGGCGCATGAACTCCTTCCTCGAGCACGGCATACCCACGAATTTAGTTGCCACCCACATCGTAAACGCGTCGCGCGAGACGCAGTTCGTGCTCGGCCTGGTGCGCAATGCGATGAAGCAGAAGGAGCTGGTGAGTCCATCCTTACCCGCGAGATGTGCGTATCTGTTTATCTGACCTTTCAATTCCAGCTGCACATCCACTCCAACCTCGAGTCGCTGCAGCGCGTCATCGGCAAGGAGTATCTGCCCGCGGAATTGGGTGGAGACAACGGCACCCTGGGCGACGCAATGACCCGCTATGAGACCCAGCTGACCGGCTTTGCAACGTACTTCAAGGAGGAGGAGCGCAATGGCGTGGATGAGAAGCTGCGTGAGGCCAGCGAGAAGGAGCAGGAGAAGACCCCGCCCCTGGGGGCTGGTGTCGCCAACGAGGGCTCCTTTCGCAAGCTCAACTTCGATTGAGGCGGCGTGATGGCGGCCCATTAAAGTGTCGTGTGGCAGTTAGTTGTATATTCAGATGCACATACTACTATTTACACCCCTCTCTATATATACAGACATACATACGTCCCGATATGTACACACAAATGTAAAAATACCACAGCGCTATAGCGATCCTTGGTCAATGCAAAACCTGATATTTTATAAAAGAAAGTCCTAGTAGAGCAGCTGCAGCATGGAACCTAAAGGCCTACAATTCAATAATATTATAAACAAATCCACACAGAACAAAAAAAAAGAAAGAAAACAAAAGAAAGAATATGAGTATGAATATGAAGGGCCATCAAATGGTAGAGAAAACCTCACATGAATGTCGATTATAATTTATTGTTGTCCTTATCAACGCACACCCATACTTAAACAAATACATTCTAACATACGGCTTTGCCTCGACATTTTATCCGCCTCCATTATCGAATTTCGCTCACCTCACGATGACGACCGTCGTTTCCGCGTCTTCTACTTACTATGTGCTAAGTTCTGTGTTGGCTTTTATTTTAAACGCATACGCATACACATTTATATACATACATCCATACAAACATTCATGCGAACATACATACATATTTTTTCGATAATTTTTGCGTTAGTTAAGTGTCGTTTCTACTAATTTTTGATACTAGTTTACACCATGTACATGTACACACCTATATTCGTATGTATCGAGATACATACATATTATATCTATAATATAAAGTCGAAATACAAACATACAGTTTATAAATGACAACGTATTGTAGTGTCCCCTGTTGAGTGCGTTAATAAATTACAAATAATTTGTTTAAATGTCGAACAAACACACTAGCGAAAAAGTCACTTTCAAAGTGATGTATTACTTGTGGAGACCCTTTTTTGATTTATGTGGTAATTATCTTGTTTGCAGAGATAAAGATTGACTCCAATGACGAATTGAACTTTGGTCAGTACAATGGAACGATATGCCTTTGCCATCAGTAACTCTTTATTCAAATTCAAATCCAAATTGTTTGGCGCCCAATCTGCTTGAGCGGGACAACTTATATGCTTCAACGAGTGTTGTGAAGCGAGATTTGTCTGAGCTTTCTAATATCTCATCAGCTGGGCGCTCTCCAGCGAATCAACTTGTTGCGCGGATTAAAGGAATTCGGCCAATTCTCAATATGCCCAGGCCAATCCAGTTATATTACGACTTTATGTCGCCACCTTCGCGTGCTTTGTGGATTGCACTCAAGTGGGGCAAGACCCCGTTCGAGGATTGCCCAATTGCCCTGCGAAAATGTGAGTAAACAATAATCCAAGTATTTTTAAAGCTGTTCATTTGTGTATCTACTTTTTTTAACCCTTGTGTTGCAGTCGAACAGTTGACGGATGAATACAAGAAGATAAATCGATTTCAGAAGGTTCCCGCCATAGTGGACGGAAACTTTCATATGGCCGAAACTGTGGCAATTGTCCGGTATGCCTAGAAAATGTTATAAGCAGAAATGCACCTTACCGACGCACCATCAGTTATCTTTCAGACAAAGGTCAATTCAACGAACAGCTATATCCCAGAACTGTGCAGGAACGCGCCCGAGTTGATGAGTACCTGGAGTGGCAGCATTTGAACATTCGCATGGCCTGCTCAGTTTTCTTCCGTGAAGCTTGGCTTTTTCCCATAAACGGCCTTGCCCCAATGCCGAAACCAGAGCGGACTCAAAAGTTCATAAAGGACGTGGAAACCAACTTGGGACTCTTGGAGGTTCTATGGTTGGAGAAGGACTTTCTCATTGGAGACCATCTGACTGTGGCCGACCTTTTTGGTGCTACCGAAATCAATCAAATTAGTAAGTCATTTGGAGTTTTTAAATACGCTTAATTGAACACGCATAATTTTCAGAGCTTTGCCAATACAATGTGAATGCGAAACAATTTCCCAAGGTAGCCAGGTGGCTGGAGCGTGTACGAGAGGCATCCAATCCTTACCACGACGAAGCACTTACTTTTGTGTACCAGAAGGCCAAACAGGCGGCTTCCGCCAAGCTATAAGCTAATTTGCTTATTTATGCATTATAAATATAAACTAAACTAATATAAACTATGTCTAGTGTTGCATAGCGCATACTTTGAACTTTGTACGGATCTGAGCTTTTTCTGTCAGCTGTTCGTTTCCATAAAATAGTTTGCCCTAATTTCGTGCCGTACCTTAAAAATTGCAGCACCGCATTAAAATGTCCAAGGCCATTAAGTACTATTATGATTTCTTGTCGCAGCCATCCCGAGCGCTATGGATTGAAATGAAATTGGGCAAGACCCCATTCGATGAATGCCCCGTGGCACTTCGAAAACGTGAGGACCGGTTAACCTCGAACTAGCGGGCCGATTAAATCAACTTTCTGACTTCTTGCAGGTGAACAATTGACGGACGAGTACAAGAACATCAATCGCTTCCAAAAGGTTCCAGCTATAGTGGATGGCAACTTTCAGTTGTCCGAAAGGGCATTCGAGTGCCATGCGGACTCTTCTTTCGGAGTGTCTGGCTGTATCCCGTCAACGGGGTTGCCCCAATGCCAAAGACCGAGCAGATTCAAAAGTTGGTTAAGGATGTGGAGACCAACTTGGGACTCGTGGAGCGTCTCTGGCTGGAAAAAGACTTTCTAATTGGGGATCAGCTGACTGTGGCCGATATTTTTGGTGCTTCCGAAATAAATCAAATGAGTAAGTCGAAACGAATTTGCTCAAAGAGTGCATTTAACTGTTATAGCAAAAAATATTTACAGAGCTCTGTCAGTACAATGTGAGCCAGAAGCAGTTTCCCAAGATAGCCAAGTGGCTGGCACGTGTGCGCGAATCCTCCAATCCCTACTTCGATGAGGCCCACAATTTTGTGTACGAGAAGAGCAAGCAGGCAGTCAGTGCCAAGGTTTAAAATTCCGGGAATCGTACCAGTCGCATTTGCATTTGTTAATATTTCGTCATATATCTGTATCTACATATTGTTCAGTCACTGCCACGTGCCTTTTTAGAGTGTTTTTCTTTTGTTGTGTATTCATTAGAATTCATTATTAAATAACTATTTACTAAGTGCTTAGGCTAGTCGATGTCAAGTTTCCTAAAAGATCCATCAATGCCAAAGAGCGATTCGGCGTTGATTGCCTCACCCCGCCTCAGCTTTTCATTCGTGCCGTACGACGCCTCCTCCTCGAAGAACTTCTGGTAGGACAATAGTTTTTCCCTCCATGTGGTGACCACGTCTTGTATGGTTCCATTGCTGCCACCGTATTCGGCGGGCAGACATTCCTTGGGCACATATTTGTAGAGGCTCTCCAGCTTGGAGTGTATGTGAAACTATGAGAATAATCAAACGATTAGCTTAGCTCTCAAACAATTTGAGGAGGGTGGGCTATAACTTACTCGTTTTCGAATCTTCTCACTCATCAGACTCTTGGCAATGGACATCATTGTCTCGGTACTGGCTGGGGCATTAACAAAGTGGAAGCCCTTGGGCCTGTAGGGCAGTGCCTTGTCGCCGAGAACGGCCAGCTTCTTGACCAGGACTGCATCGAACTGGAATATATGACCTGCCCCAACGCCCTTCATGTCGATGATCTCAACAAAGCCAGAAATCATAGCGTTGTCATCCTCTCTTATCTGAATCTCCCCCATCATGGTGCTAACCTGCACAACCTCTGCGATGGAGTACTTCTTGGAGTCGTATAGGCCGTAACGGGAGATATGAATGCGGGGTCCATCAGGCTGCAGTGGCTGGGGCAAGCGGAGAAGGCAGCTAAAATATAGTACACGATATTGAGAATATCCTGTTTTGCCATGTGATCAAGTCGAGCTTACCCTGTTTCGAGTATGCCCAGCTGCTTCTCTCCCACAAAGCGATTCTTGTAGAGCTCAGGAACGGCGCCACGCATGGCATAGAAGTTGTCCAGCTTCAGCTTGGTCTTCTCCAGGCTGTACTTACAGCCGCGCAGGAAAGCGACCAGGAACTGGGAGTCCTGGCGGGCCGTCAGATGCGGCTGCTTTGAGATCCAAGTGCGCAGAGTTTCAATATCCTCTTCGATCCGTTCGGGCACCTCTCCCAGCTCCTTCTGGGCCTTGTTGGCGAGCTCAGGGCTCAGTCTGCGTATGGACTTCGGGTCGGGCATGGCAATGCTCTCCTTATCACCACCTACCTGTCCAATGCAAAGGCATAGAGTTTGATTTATTGAAATTTAGTCGTGGCCTTATTAGTCAGCTTGCCCCACTACGGCCCCATTTCCGCCAAGTTGTTGACTGGTAAGTGGTGTCTCTTCTGGTTGATTAGATAATAAGTAGTAGCCGTATGGCTGTAGCTGGCTAGTCCCAATAATTCGTCATTGAGTATGACAAAGTTTTCGATTAGATTAGTGGCTTATGCTTAAACAGCGATTAAGAGATAGTCGCTGTGTACCCCATTAGTGATGGCCATCAATTTGGTTCAGTTTACATCGTGGGTGCACCGGCACAATCAGACAATCTTCCAGCGATAAGTCAAGATACGAGTATCGCTTATCAGCATGGATCTAAAATCTTTTTGGAGACTGCTCGCACAACACCCTTGATATTGGTTGGTCTTGCCGTGGCACTTAGCATACAGACTGTGAATGGCTTTGTGTAAATTCCACATTGTCCGACCTCTACTCACAATTGTCTTTAATTTAATATTAGCAGTTATATATACATATATATATATATATATATAAATTGGACGTTTATGGTACGTATGTTTGAGCACTTCGTCGCAAAATTAGAATGCTGAACCGCTGACTTTGACTGTGGGCGCGCGACTGCCACCGCCTCGGCATGGCATAGCCGATTTTGGTTCTCTATGTATGGAGAACCTTGTGGACGTCACGGCCAATGACGCATAGCCTAATGACAGTTGAACGAATCAACATAGGGAGTGTGAGAGATCGCCGAGGGTAGCGACTGGTAACTGTTACACAAAATTAACGCCTTGTGTCAACCGGCAGCTAACACCTGGAGATAAGATATAAAACAAGTTGATCCGGAGACCACTCCCTGCATTTATACTTATGGGGAATCTCCTGTTCATCAGAATGGATACCAATCAATGACCCGACTGGAAATCATTACTAAGGTTTTCCATTTATGTAAAATTCCCGTGAATAAGTTTCTATATATGTGGAAAGATACGAATATCAATACATAAACCTGAACCTTCGCTGATATCAATCCATAATATCAAGTCCACCTACACATTACTACCACTAAATGGAAGTCTATATAGAGCCCTGTCTGTATGGAGATAACGATATTATCGCTGAACATGATACATCTGTTCAAGCTGGTATTGCCTTTATTTTTTGCTTCGTTGGAGCTTTACAAACACGATAATTTTGTTATCAGCCTGGACTTGCTTCTGGGGTATCTTTTGTCCTTATCACAGAGGGCCAAACTACCAAATCAAAATATCCAACTCATTGTGAATATATCCCTTTATAGCAGGCCATTAATGAGACTGTGAAATGTATCGAGTCAGAAAGATATGGCAGATTCGTATACTCTGACGTATGATTTTATCACTATTCTTAAGTGAAAACCACTTGCTCTTCACAAATAAAACGAACTACACTAAACAAAATAATTCTCAATTCTGCAATGGTTTCCCGTTACCATTGCAAATTGATGAGAAAATTAACATTTTAATTAATTTTTTAAAGGGTTCGGACAAATAAAAGAGAACATTTGTTGTACAACGAAATCGTTTTAAAAAACAACCCTCATTTTGGTGGTGCTGAAAACCGAGATTTCGCGTTTCTAAGATCTGCTGATACCAGGCGAACAGAAAGTAGAAAACAACGAAAGATGTTGCAAAATTTGTGTTGCATACTTTATGTTGCTACACTTTAATTTTAAAGCATAGCATACTTTTGGGGCTGACGGAACGCAAAGTTGCTTTCTGCTGATTTCTGTTCGCCTGGTACTGTGGGTCTGAAATTGTTCGTTGTTTGTCATTTGGGAGGCTGATTATTTTTGCCACTTGGTGTGGGTTTATCTCTGTGTATCCCACCAGTCGTCCAGTCGGTTGACCATTTTCTCGAATATCATAATTTTAACAACAACTCATTTTTGTACTCAAGATCTTTATATTGAGCGACAGTCTTGCTAGTTGCTTCCACTTGTGCCCCACACATAAAAAAGAGAACAACGCATTTACTGAATTGATTTTATTTAATTTCTCGTTCTTTAAGTAAGTATCTCTTATGCGTAGGTACAATAAACTAAATTCTTACCAAAAATGCAATAGTTTAACTTGGGTTTGTGTGTTTGTTTGAGTTTTTCTTTCGTTTACAATCGCGCGTTTACCATCGCGAATTTATGATAATATCACATTTATATATAAATAGTTAGAACGGTTCGGTCAAATGAAAAGTAGATAGAGACAGGGCAGGTGGACAGCTCACAGCTCACAGCTCTCAGCTGGATGGATCCGTGCCTGTTCCGTCACTCAGAAGCAATACTGTACTTAATTATAAGGCAGTTGTGGTTCCGAAATTTCCATCATGGGTAATCCTAAATGGTCGACTTTTCCGGTATGCATGCATATGCTCTACACCTACATACTCGTATTGCTAAGGTTTATATATATGTATGTTTTATCCTGTTATCTTTATATATGTATGTATCTCTTATTCATCGTATTTAGATCTGGTGAAACAGCCCTGCTATTGGTGCTATTGGTGCTATTGGTGCTATTGGTGCTCCAGTGTCCACGATTGGCAAGTGTCCAAGGATGAGTCAGCAAGTGGCGAGTTCTAGACTCCTGCGTCTATGGATGATTGCCACTTGACTGCTAATTTTTGTGCCCTTAATTCTATAAAAGGCCGCTCGGGTGTCGTCTTTGGGGGCAATCAAGCGCCAGACTGTCACACAGTTGCGCTCTGCTCAAAGTAACATCTAAATATACTCGTATTCGTATGTATGCATTTATATGTGTGTATGTGTGTAAGTGCTGGTTGTGAGGAAAATGAGGGATCCGAATCCAAATGAGGCGAATCGTGGCGCTTACTGCTAAGTATGGCTAAACCTAGGCCCTCCGTTGAGTCTTAACTGCTCCAAGCTGTGGCGAGCAGCAGGGCCAGAAGCAGATGGAGACTGATCCGACGTTCCCTTGTGCCGCTCGCCTCCGTTGTCTCTTCCTCGCCGGAGACCAGGGGCGCCGTATAGCGCTGCTCGTCGTCCACTTCGTTGACGCTACGAGCGCACTGCATCCATTTGCGGGACGACAGCTTCGCCTTGGCGTGGGCCACCTTCATGCGATCGTCGTTGAACTCCCAGTAGCCGAGGTTCTTGAAGAAGTACGTCTTGCCATCGATGTACTGGAAGGCGGCATCGATGTTGTAGCCCACGCCCGACCAAATGCTCATGTCCCGCGGATAATCCAGCTCCACCTGCCCCGTGTAGTCATCGATGCGCCAGTAGAGGGTGCCACTGGTCAGATACGTGCGGTTGTTGTGGCCCCACACGAACGAGGCATCAATGTGCGACAATGTCGGAGGCAGTCCCAGGCTGGCCAGTGGCTTGGGATAGCCGTTGGCCAAGGTAACCGAATTGAACACATAGTACTGGCGACCTGTGGGGCGAAAGAGGAAACCAATGTAAATTCCGCAGAAAAGGACCAAGGTTTTCCTTCCTCACCAATAAAGAAGACGATCTGGCGCTGCGTGTTCTCGAACACCGCATCGACTCTGGTGAAGTTCTCGGGCAGAGCAGCCCAGTGGCGGCGCGTTTCCGTTGGGTAGCCAGGATACATGCCGCGTGCCCCGATGCGCCAAAGGAACTGCAAAGGAAGAAGAGTTGAGCCACTGATTGCGACACCATTGCTCCGGTGGCAGCCTACCTGTCCTCTGAAGATGAACAGTTCGCCGCGTATCATGGAAATGGCATCGTAGCTGGTCATGCAGCTGTCGGGCTTCGGCTTGCGCGGCTTGTGCGGCCTGTGGTGGTTGTGATGCTGGTGCTGCCGCTGTCCTGTGGTTGGATACGGTCGCGGCCTTGGCTGCTGGGAAGGCGTCGTTGGCGTCCTTGTGGTGGTTGTCATGCGCTCCCTTTCCCTTTCCCGCTCACGCTCACGCTCTCTGTCCCTCTGCCTCTCCCTCTCCTCGCGCTCGCGTGCTCGCTCCTGTTCTCGCTCCCTTTCACGTGCCCGTTCCTCCTCCCGCTCCCGTTGCTGCCTCTGCCGCTCCCGCTCCTGTTCCCGCTCACGATCCCTGTTGGGATCATAGTTCGAGGGATACCGCGGCCGATTGTTGGGCCGCTGGGGATAGTAGCTGAGCGTTCGCATCGTGGTGCTGGTGGTCGTGGTGCTCGGTGTGGTGCGCGGCCGGTAGGGTCCCCATGTCTTCTCCTTGGAGCCGTACAGCTCCTGAATGCCAGTGCGGTCGTCGTCCGGCAGCTTGCCATCTACCTCGTTGTTCTGGTACCATGGGAACATGACCGCATCCGAGTCCGAGGAGTGGCCCAGTCCCAGGGAGTGACCCAGTTCGTGCAGCGCCACATTCAGAAAGTTGGTTCCTGCAACGACAGGGAATGCCAGCAAATGAAATGAAAAGCAACATAAATACGGCTGACTGGTTAATGGCAGGGAGTGACAGGGAGTCCTGGCCAAGGCAGGGCCAAAGGCGTCGTCGTCGCCTTGACGACTTTGTAAGTGGCATAAAAATGGCGACGCTTGCAACATTTTATAATGGCTGGCAACGTCACGCGTCATGCTGACAATTTTTTATTGGCATTAAAAGCCATTAAAATTGCCGAAGCACAGTGCACGAGGGCGTGGTGCGGTGCGAAGAGCAGGAGATTTATTGTGCTAAATTACAAAACGCCAGCGGCATGCGGCATGCGGCATGCGGCATGGGACATGAGCCATGCGGCATGTAGCAGGCAGCAGGCAGCAGGCAGTAGGCGACGCGTCGCCAGTCATGGTTGCAGTGGTCGCCGCTGCATATGCAATTTGTATTGATTTTGCCCGAAGTGTGGCTGCCACAACATACTCCACATGACCGCGTAACATGATCATCAACTAATTTAATTAATTTACGTCAAAAAGTGAATGCAATTATGGTGTAAACTGGATTTACTTGTACATATTTATGTGTAAACTGTACAACACGCACCTCGACTGTCATCCGCGTTGCCGTCAAAGTTCCATGTCTCGTCCGCATCGAAATGGGCATCGCCGCCACGTCCTTCGCCGGGATAAAAGGCATGGGCCAGCACCTGGCCGGGACCATCGAATTTATAGCCATCGCCGTGCTGGAGACTGCAAAAAGCAATGGGAAACAGAGGGTTTTGGGTGGGATTGTTCCAGGATTAGTCCATGTGTCTCGGGCTTTCATAAAAATTACGACCAAAGCTAAAGGCAAGCTCATATTCACAGCTTATCTAAGAACAAGCAGCTGCCACATAAACTCTTTGATTCGCCCTGCCACAGTCATGCAGCTGGATGCATGGGCATGTTCATTGACATTGCTATTGCTGGCATTTCGTCATCGGTATCGTCATCGGCTACATCAGCTCCTGTTCCAGCTCCATGGTTTAATACGTGGCTTATTTATCGTTTGCCTGGTTTTAAGTGCACTTTTGATGGGTTTTTTGGCTGGTGGCCCATGTTTATGGCACTAAAGACACGCGTTTTTTATGGCACCCACCGCAGCCCATCCCAAATACCCATCCCCACAATACGTACCGTGCAAAGAGCACTTGGATGTCCGCCTGATCGCTGTACACCTCGCGGAACGTCAGCTTGGAGTTATTCTCCCACACGCTCAATGCGCGGGCCACCATCATTCGAATCTTGCCCGCATCCGGCATCGTTTGGTTGACCAGGCTAGAACGAGAAAGAAGCCACAAGAGATATGACATCAGTGACAGTTTCAAATACTCTCCCTTTTCAGGATACATACATTAGACCTGAAAAGGATTCCCCCCAGTATGCAAAATGCATGCATAATTTGTCCTTTTTTGAGGGAAAACTTTACGATATGCGAGCATGTTTCTCCTAGTTGGAGCTCAACTTTGTCGCTTATCTGTCGCTGTGACTTGCAAGACCGGAGACGAAAGCGCTAATATGGTGGCCAGAGCTCACACAACCCTCCCAGTGCCCCTGTGCGGCGGGCACTTTCACTTTGTCATGCCAAAAGTTTCTTTTATTTCAGCCTCCCATCGCCCCCATAATGGCCAAAGACGAAGGCGGGTGTCGGACTTTTGGTGGTTTTCACTTAGTTTGGTGTTTTGTAAATTCTGTGCCAAAGTTGTTGGCAAACACACAAAATGTGTAACCGTGTACCTGAAGCTGTATCTAAAACTGAACCCGGTCTGTACTGGGCAACAACGCTCCAAGGCGAGGGCAACTCTCCACTTACGGTTTTACTCGATTTCCGTCGGCAAAAGTTTGCCCCCAGTCCACAGCAGCAGCGCCAGCTCCATCTCCATCTCTGACATGGAGCCCTTTTCTATTTGTGTGTGTTTTCGGCAGTGTTTCCACATTTTATGCAAATTAGTTATGTTTCTTTTATGCCGGAGCGCGTCTGCTCTTGCTGCTGCTGTTGTTTCTGCTGTTGCTTTTGTTAACTAACGCAACAAAAAAAAAATATATGGAAAGAACGGAGACGTAGACGAAGGCAGGAAGTGGAACAGAGGGCCAGAAAAGTTGATCTTTCTTGTGGTTTACCTAAAGCCCCTGGACCAGGACCTGGACCAGACGCAAGGCCCAGCTGCTGCCCTTGCTCCTGCCCTACCCTGCCCGGGCTTATGCTGCGTGTGGCCTCCTGTTCCTTAATTTCCATTCTATTTTTTCTAGTTTGGCTTTCCTTTTGCTCTTTTTTTTGTCTCTCCTGTTTGCCCGAATACAGGCTTTTACGTGCGTGTCCGTTCTCCTTCAATATGCATTGGGACGGGGCATTCCATAGCCATTGCCATTTGGTGCCGTAACCGTGATCGCTTCCACGTAAATTGGCCAGCTTCTCTTTTGGCCATTTCCTTTGGCCAGGCTTCCACTAACTGCTTTGTTTCCAATCAAATTTTGTCAAGCCATTGAGCCAGGGGCACGTTCCTGTCCTTCGAGTGGGGATATTCGGGAATTTCCATGCAAATTGCCGCGCTCAGCTAATTGAGTGCTCTCAGGGGGAGGAATGACACCGATAGCGATTGGTTGTACGACTTACTATCGAGTTATATAGGTGATAATTGAATATAGCTGGAATCCACATACATATAGATCATCCTTCTTGTTTTCAGACGACGTACATCACATCACACAGTCTCTGCAACATCATAAGGCGCACGTACTGGCAACTACTGCATGCCACTTGACCTGGACTCACACTCGAACTCTGACTCTGACTCTGACTCCAAAACTGTCGTCCCAAACAGTGTCGCAGTTCATTTCCATGTCCTCGTTCTGGACTCGACAAAAACGTGCTCAATTGCAACGCCATTTGTTTGCCTCTGCTTGTTGATCCGTCCGTCTGGTCGGGCGGCAGGACCGGCTCAAGCCTTTCGGTTCGTCAGACTGTGGCCCCAGTCTCCTATTTGCACAGCGCTTGTTGTCGTCCAAAAGGTTGTCGTTGTAGGGGGAAGGTAAATTAACTCAAGCCATCCGCAGCACCCAGCCAGTCTAATCCTCTGTTGCAGAGGCCCTTTGTCGTGCTAATTTTGTTGCCACTGCGTTTGGATTTAAATGCAAGCCATTGCATTGCATCCGGTCACGTAGCCATTTCCAGTTGCAACAGAAACAGAAACAGAAGCAGAAACAGAAGCAGCCGCAACACTGACAGAGCGTAGCGCTTCGGTTTGACCTCTGTTTGTCTTTGCCATGTCATCCTGTGTGCCGAGCATTTAAATTATTATGAACCCTCAATGCAAAGAGAGAACTAGAGAGGCAGTTCCTGCAAACGGCACGACAGAAGCTGCAGGAACGTGAATTTGTAAACGGGATGGATTCCTGGCTGAGCTGAGGGCCAGCAACGGGCTCGGACTCGGACTCGGACTCGGACTCCGCCTCTTGTCCGTTCGACGTGTCTGGCGTGTCTGGGGGAAACGTGTGTCTCTGCCAATTTGTAGCCTTACACGTAAAACAAACTGAACAATTAGGCAAATGGATGGAAAACGGGAGGCACACACACAGTGATGAGGGGATGCATCCCCTGCATGACATGGAGGATTGCGCAATCGAATCAGTGGGTTGCCATGGCTGTCACTTTAGACCAGCCAGCCAGCCAGCCAGCCAGCCAGCCAGCGATTCCACTGCTATCCTGGTCGAAGGCTTTTTAGCACTAAGCTCTGTCCGTAAACATCACCAAAGGTAGCCACGAAACCTGCTCGCCGGCAAGCGCTTTCCCAAATTTGTTACATCCATGAGTACTTTCCGTTTCCAATCGAGTACACATTGGACATGTTCAATGCTCATTTGCAGAACTGTCACCATAATGCCAACGCAGTCGAGTCACAATATATCAGAGCGCTGCACACATGCGATTTTTGATTAAAATTGCACACCGACAGGTAGAGGCAGGTGTACAGGGGGAACACAGCACAGGTATCTGGGCATCCTTACACTCCATGCTGCCTGCTGCCTGCTTCCTGCCTAATGCCCCTGTCTGCCGTCTGTCACTGCCAGTTGATTGAATTGGGCACACATCGACCCATGAAATGTTTGTCCGCAGGCTAACAACTAAATCACCGATGGCAGCGCTTTTGCATGCCCCTTTCCACTGCATTCCCCTGCTTGCTCCCCCCCCCAAGACACAGCTCCAAGTCGTTGCAGCCGCCCAAGAAGCAGAGGGCAAGAGAAAATAGATGAGGTTGTACGATGGCGTAATAGAAAAGCCCAGAGGCTCAGACAAGGTGGCTAGGAAGTCAGCGGCGGGCGTCATTTTCCAATTTTTCCTCAATCGCACAGATTTCTCCTCTCGCAGACACAATTTCATGCACATTTTACTCGACTTTTCCTGCCATCAACTTCCGCCAAAAGTTTTTCCAGCATCAAGCGCTCAATAGCATTCGGGGGCGTTCTCTACAAACTCATTTCGAGGGTATTTTGATTCGGAATAAATGTTTGTCAAGCAGAATGAATAACGCAAGCCTTGGGAGTTGTCTTGCCAAGAACATATGTCCATATGCATCTCCAAGGGTATCTCCATCTTCGGTGTCCGAAAACTAGCTTTATTTTGTTGTCCTTTTTTCGTTTTTTGTTGGTTTTCTTGTCAGACAGCTATCGAAAAAGTTTCGCCATCGCAGATGCCAACAAAATGAGTTTAATTTTTTGCTTAATTTCGCACAAATTAAAACGATGCGAGCGGAGAGCGGAGAGCGGAGAGGAGAGTAAATTTCGTAATTTTTCGTTGTCGTGGCACAAAAGTTTCGACTAGTAATATTTCTCCGCTCGCCATTCCATGAGATATCTTTACAGCACGGAAAAGATATTGAGTATCGAGTGAAGCACAAACATACATTGTAGCTCCTTCGACACTCGAGACATTTTGAAGTGACAAGAGCGCAGGAAATACATTCTTTGCGAGTCACAAAAGTGGATCCCAAGCCTGTTGGCTCTGGGTATTACAGCCAAAAGTTTGTTTGGTAAGAAGGATACCATCCATTCCATTCCATTGTGTCGATGCTAATTCAAAAGAGAAGCTCGAAATACGAAGGGTACTACATGTGTGGCGCCTCACAGCTCACAGTTCACAGCTCACAGCTTGCACGTTTCACCTGCCCGAATCTCAAGTCTCACCCAGATGGCATCCCACAATTGCCACACTCGAAAGTCCCCAAACTTCTGCAAACATAATTAAGCTTAACCGGTTTGCTCAGCATTAAAAATGTAAGCCCTTCCGATGCTATGCGTTTGGTTGAGTGTGTGCAAAAAGGGTTTGACATGGGAATGAATCTCAATAAAATAGCTCAAAAGTAGCCCTGGGCTATGCCCTGGAATAAAAGCCCCACAGACATGGCCACCAGTGTGCAGGGCATCTTCCAGTGGCTCAGAGGCGTAAGCCGCTAGGCAATACTCAGAAACAGAAAACAAGTGAAACATGGCAACAAATGACTTGGCATCTTGTCGTGTCATAACAAATTTAATTAATAAATAATCAGAATGTAACCACAAGAGAAATAACGACAAAGTACGAGAGTAATAAATGGAAATTTGTCATTAGCCTGAAGTTTGGGACATTGGCAGCGACATCACGAACACACTTCCTTAGAAGACAGCCAGTCTCAAGTGCTTATTTTGCTCAAAGAGTGTCGCACACACACAGAGAGAGAGGCACATGTGGGATGGATGGCGCAAAAGGTAAATATTTGCCACAAGAAGCTGCCACAGGAGTATGCCACAGGAGGAATCCTCTTCGCCCGACTGCCATGTCCAAAATGATTCTTGCCATTAGACATTATTAAATTGCCATTCTCTTAATAAAAACACACTCATAAATATATTTCTTTTTTGCTTTTTTTACTTTTATAAAACGCTATTTGAATACACAAAAACATTATTTGCATCAAACAAAATCCTAACAAATTTATTTTGTTTTGTTTCACTTTACTTTTGTCAACAATTTGTATTAAAAAAAAAATAGTTTCAAATAGTCACTGTATTTAATTTGTTTAACATCACATGAACTCTTTCACATTCACTTTTGTCCGCCTTTGTGGATATTCTATCCTGCTATCGCTCACTCAAGGAGGTTGTGATGGATACCATATCGAAATAACATCACACCCAGGTTGAGTGAGTCAAAGCAAGACAAAATGCGACCCGTTTTCACTTTTGGTTTCCTCTTTTTTGCCTAGAGTCTAGACAGTCAACTTTTAGCACTTCATTTGCAGAAC